ACAAACAAGATAATCACTTTATTCACTAATTCATTACATTTTATAGCGGAAGTTTTAATGTTCACTATTATAAGTTTGTACGAAATTAATAGTAAATAACGTAATAATTACGTTAAATAATTATTATGATCGTAACATTCTAAAGTAAGATTATTTCATTGGGGTGATATAAATAAAACTGCATACAAAATTACGAGAAAATTGTTTACGCAATATTCTTGGTAAACAAACCCGAGGCTTAGCATGACCACTAATGCACGATTGTTAAATATCAAATGCTCGTAAATTATAGCGGCTTTATTGCAATAAGTTAGAATCTATATTGCTATAAACAGTATTGTTTAATTTGCTGGTCATTGTAGCCGCTGTGTTGCTTTTACAATTTCGAATGTTAATAATTTCATATATCTACGAGTTATATCTTATCGCTAACTAATATCCATCTAATGATTGAATGTCAAAGCTAATTAATATAAACGGCATTAGCTCGTAATTCGCAAACAATGTATGCTTATTTAATTATCCTAAGTCGTTTCATTTGACTAGGTTTGATAGCAGAACATGCCGAGTAATAAAGTCGACATTTTTTAAATCTAAGTAAATTTCATAAAACCATAACTAAATAGATGTGTATACGGAAAATTTTAAAATAAAATATTTTTTTTAACCATATTCTACACAGTGTAGAAAGTGATGTATGGAGAATAATTACAAATGATATTTAAATAAATAAAATCAGTGTAAATATTACTATATAAATAATTCTTAAGTGTATTGAGTTTCAACCAAAATTTGATCGCCCAATCTGAATTATACTTAAAATAACAAAACAAATCGTTAAACTAAATTTTACTAAAAGTATATTGTAACAGAACACCGAAAAACGGCCCTAAAATGTTTAAATTATACTAAATCATACTATACCTAACTAAATTTTGCACCATTGGACATAAACGGTAAGTAAACACTCGAAACATCAGCAAACTTGCACTAAAAGTATTAAGACGGAATCAGCTTTAGGGTTTTGTGCTATTGTTATATACCAGATGTTACACCTGGAGGAAAAGTACCCTATATACTAGAGCAAATGCTCTTGCGTCATTATAAAGAAATTACTCAATAAACATTAGACGTTTAGTTAAATAAAGCCAACTATATGATTTTTCTCTTGTCTATTCTCGACCTCCAGTATTAGGGCACCCCTCTAGGACATGTTAAAACCTTACTTTTAACTGCAATACTTTCATGTAAACAATACGAAACTTCTAAATCACACACTATTAATGAAGCATTGGTACATATCACTCGGTATTACTTATATAATAAATATGGTGATGCAGATGAGACCACAGCCCGTTATCTACATGAGAAATTCGTATGCTAATATGATTCGGGTCGTGACTAAATCATAACTTACCTATACTACACCTACTATAATCATTTATTTGGTGGTTATTACTTGTACGTTATATCTAAATGAGATTAATTTCAATACGAATAACGAAATATAAATCAAAACTTTTTGTACATGGTGTACATTAAAATATGTCGGGGATATAAGACAACTTAGCCAGCCGAGGTTGCGCGCCACGGTATATTATGGCATCTCATTTTTTGTATTTATCTATAAAGCAAATGTACCAGTAGCAGTAAGTACTAATTTTCAATACGTATCGTACATTAAGTACGCCCTTAGCTGGCTAATTATAATTTAAATAGGGGCAACATCAATGTAATTCATTTTTTTAAATACATTCCTTATATCCCGCAGCACTTCAGTGCGCAAAACGATAAATATCCCAATCACAGAAAATAATATAGTCAAAGAAACGAAATCGTATAATATGAGTATATCATATTATAACTTGCCGCTTTAATTTTAATTGTGTACGTAGACTATTCGTTTTTGAAATATTTCAAGATGGCACTATCAATGAGATTTTTCATCTCAACAGATACAATTAAATTCATGAACTAAAAAAATTAAAACAATTTTATAATCTCCCTCCATATTTTTCATACACGTACCCCTTTATATGTCTTACACTAACTTAAAAGCGATAGCACAAACGATAGCTATATAACACTATAATATAAAATCGTGTCCATGAGCCGTGCACTACTGAGTCAGAAATGTCGAACAGTGCGTGCGCTGAGGGGTCGAAAGGTTGGACAATGTCAAAAGATGTATTTACTTTAACCTGGATCTATGTCAAAGATGAATATAATTGCTTCCAAATTTGACATTATCATCATCCACGATAGATCGACGGTGAGTAAAGGATTTATAAACCATCTCCACCTTAACAAAATTCCTTTACGTCAAATATTACACTCCATCCAAATGTCAAATTATCGGGGAAACTAAAAACTGAATCGTTACTAGAGAAAAAAGGATTCCCTATTAAGTTTGAAGTTATCTAATGAATCGAAATCTTATTTTAGTGTACAAAGTGCTAATACTTTTGTACATTATATCAACATATATTTAGTAGTCAACTTAGAGTTGGCAAAAAGTTAATAAGGATTATGGTTAGAACCTCCACGAATTACAAATATTTTTTAAAGTGTACATCAGAACTAGCACCCTCCCCAATTAATCCGCTCCGAACAAACCCATCAGCTTACGCATTGTAGGAAATCGCCGGTTTATCGGACGTACATACGTATACGTAATCTGACTCGGAATCGACGCGTGCACGGCTGGCCCTACGTTAGGCGGTCGCTACTTGCCATACAATAAGGTGGCTCTTTGTCGCTCGCTCGACGAACGAACCATGACCACCCGAAGCTCCATCTTCAGCCACTACCACGCTGTCTTCCATTTCTGAATCAGCTGGGCAAATAATACAAATTAAATAAAGAATTACCAAAACCTCTTTACCGACAACGCGCCCAAATATAGGATTATTATTAGATTTCAGCCCTGCGATTCTGTAACTCACTTTTTGAACTCACACAACAGTTTTCGCATCGGCGGTCGCTCTCAAATCAGTCGTGAAGCAGTCATTTTATGATTTGGCATTCTGAAAAGGTGGGAGCTTGTAGTTTATTGTTTATTAGAATGCCAAATCATAAAATGACTGCTTCACGACTGATTTGAGAGCGACCGCCGATGCGAAAACCGCTGTGTGAGTTCGAAAAGTGAGTTACAGAATCGCAGGGCTGAGCTGTTTCAAAAATGGGTTTCAAGGACATCGAACAGAAACAGATATTTGATACATTTATGAAAAATGCATTTATTAATTCTAATTTGGGCGCGTTTTAATTATATAATATAGATACATAAAAAGATCTTAGAAAAATCCTTAAGTATTAAATTGGCCTTATAACAATAAAAACACTCAAATTTTATACACTTTTAAAGTAAGGCAAATGGTATGAACGTAAAGGAACGCAAAAAAACTGATGTGAGTATAAAGACATAAGCTTAAATATGTTCCTTGACATTGCAATATTTAACATAGCAATATACATAATAGCATCTACGATTAGTAACTAATAGTCATACATAGTTGAAAGGTACATTTAATTATGTCGCATTCACCAGCGCATTATTATTTGCCTTTGAAATCATTGGAGAATTTTTGTATGGAATTAATGCACTGATGACATTCAAGACACGCATTATTAAATAAATGTTAGCTCAAAATCGATATATGTTAATGTTATTACTGTTAAGCATTAGCAGATGAAAGTGACCGAAGATATAACGCATTAAAAATTTTCATACCATTTTTTAGTTTAATTATCATTTTGTGTAATATAATTTGCCGCTCCATATGTTATTGGTATGGTACTCGTATGTTGTCATATTTATTGAGATCGGAATTATGATAATAAATTATATGATAATAAAATAAGGTTTAAAAACCTTTTTTTTTTAAATTATTTAAAGGTCGTCCTTTAGAGGTAGGTAACAAATGCGGAAATGTTGGAGAGACTGGGGATGCGAATGCCAAATAATGAATCGCGAGCGCGTACAAATATACGTCGTGCGTCTTGCGCAGCTTCAATACTTGTGCATTGTAGACAGATCCATTTAATTAGTCTGAATTCACAAAGATCGCATTATTCAAAATTGTTATAAAAAGCTTAGAAATTTTTGTATTAATAAGTTATATTTTGCATTAGTCTTAAGTTACTGTAATAGAAATTAAGAAAATAAATGTTTTATCACATCATTTTGACTACACTTCGGTGCAATAAGAAAAAATAATTATTTCTTACTAATCAATTTAAAATATAATGTAGTGTTATATCATTCGGTCCGTTTCATTAAATTGACCCAGCCATACGTAATTACTGTTAAAATGCCTATGTGATCTCTACATGCCTTCGGTGTTTATAATTAAGCATTATAATGTTATGTCCCAAGCGCCATGCTTTTTTGAATAACGTACCGATTTAAAAACAATTTATATGCTATGAATCAGGTATAATCTGCCAAACAATGAGGTGGGAGGCTGTATCTCGAACGTCATCGGCATGCTCTTCTAATGAGAAAAAATTTGGAGTAATAAGATGTAATTTATCACTGATTCGTGTGAATGTGTCCCGACGCCGGTATATGAGGCACTGTTACTACGACATTTCACGAAAAATAAGATGTACATTTTTTTTCTGTCACAATGAAAAGCAAATTAAGCACTGTTAACAGCGTAATTTATATATTTAAAAGCACGGCTTGGTTTTTAAGTGTTGTTTTAAAGTTTTTGTTTTTGCAGATACTACTTTAGCAAGCACAACCTAATATTGCATAGTTAAGCATATCAATAAATTTTAATATTGAAAATGTTTTAATTTTTATTTAGACTGTGTGTCAATCAATTACTAAGCTACATAACACTTCAAAAAAATAAGGTTTATTATTTTCTTTAAATCACTAAAATTGTCCAATATCAACGTACGCTATACCTATGAGGTGTCGTTAACCCCTGACGGCATTCAAAACGCCAAATTTGCTCACGATTACACATTCGCTAGATTCATACACTCACCTATTCTAAAATCGATATATCCTTCCCCTCCCGAAATAACAAGTATCGGTGGGGAGTAGGCCCATTTTCAGGGGAGTCCGGGCTTCTCGGCGATCCAGCACCGGGAACAGCCACGAAAAATGTCACAGCATCTCTATGCCCGTGAAAGCTCAGCTGGGCGTGCTTCATCGAACAGAGCGGAATAACCCCCCCGGGACTGGAGTGGTTCCCGGTATCGGAAAGGGGAACAGATATCACCACACCGTTGCTTGTACCGATCCACAAGCGACCGGAACTGATAAGTAGGGCGGTTATTCTCACGAGGGAGAAACCCAACTTGCCAGTACCGAGCATTTTGCTGACGTAGGGCTCGATATCAACGTCAATGAGATGTTGGTATGTGTGTGCGTGGTATAAGCGCAGAGTTGAATCCATCTTGATCGTTACCTGCAAAGGATATGTTTCGAATACAAATAAATCATGAAAATATTCGCTCAATTAAAATTCACGCAGGTGCTGTTTTCTTCTGATTTCGGAGGCCAAAAACAGTATTTGGGTCGCAGAGCCACCGGGCTGATTGAGTGAGAATTCACTCTCAACACGTGAATTTTAGTATTCAGAACTTTTAAATACACCAAATAATTAAACTTTAAAAACTTGAAAGTTTTCCTCATATAGAGGACATTTGTATTTATAATTTAACAATTCGTTGCATAACAAAACCAGTAAAATGATAATATTTAACAATCAGGAGGGCAGCAATGATTAATTTGTTTGACATATATAATTTATGAAATTCTAAATAGAAAGATACTAAAATATCTGTATTATAGTTAGTAGTAAATATTTTGTGTTTTAGTAAATTTTGATACTACTTATAGATAACAATACTTTAAATTAAAATACAAAAAGCTCTTATGGTTAGTAAGATGTTGCAATGATTAATGATTTATATAATACTAAATCGTTACAAATCTTTAGTTTACACTAAAGATTTGTAACAATTTGTTTTCAAAGATATAAAAGTATTTGAACATCCTTTATACGTGATTTACCCTCAAAGTCATCTTTTAATAGTAGGCTTAGCTAAATGTGGTAAAAATTTTACAAGAAACATTACCCATACTCCATCTCCATCAGCGCACATCTGCCGTAGCTGACTCTCTTGACGGGGGTGCGCTTCGAGCGTATGAAGCAACGTACACGCACGCGGGTCAATAACGTGCACCTTGTTACGATAGCCACACCATACAGTACCACTTCCCACCGCACTCAGACAACGAACTAAAACATACATGTTTGCTTTACGCGAGAACTACTTAAAAAAACTTCTTTAGAAAAGTATTTGATATTAATTTTCTATTGATTAAAGATATTTTTTTTGGAATTGTTGTCACATTGACGCAATATCGGGAAATTGGTCAATTACTTGTCATTATATATTGTGTAAGTCTCTTCGGTAGACCATGCTAAAAAACACTAGAAACGTTGAGTTATACAAGCATTGTTGGAAATTTGCTTTTATATCAGTTAATTAAATAATAATTTTCTCTTATCTTCTAGAAATTTATAATCTTTTGACTGTAAGTCAACGGTAATGCTGAATGACAAAATTTTTAATATATATACTGCATATTAGGCTGCCGTCTTAAAACCTTAATTTTAGGCGTTATTAAAACAGTTTTAATAAACATATTGACCAATTTTAAGTTAATATTTATATTTATGTAATCACTGCCGGGTGCAATATTGGGAGCATTTCTGTTTGTCTGGGAGCAATTTTTTGTAGTTAAATAATATTAAATAAAATAACATTTTGAATAGTGTCATCTCACACAGTTTCCGATTTTATTTTAAATTCATATCACTGCAAGGATACTACTAATACCTTTTTTACGTAAACCTCAATCAGTATTACATCTATTTGATTACTATGAATTATCATCGAAATACCTGAACACTTGGGATCTCCTAGCGTCATGAGACAATATTGTGAGAAGTCCCATTGCCCATCTGCAAGGCGCGAGAAAATAGCGACTGTACCATCAGCCAACGCTACAATACATCTCGACCAACATGCCACTATTGATAGGATTGCATCGTTCAATTTCACTCTGAAACAAATTCCGTATTGGTTTTGGTGGATATTTCTAGATAAGTAGATATTGAATTTAGAATCAGTTAACTCACGGGCAAGGCTTAAGTTTGCGGTAATTTTATTTATTTATTAATTTAAACAAAAAAAATACAAGAATATGTGACGATCCAACATAATTAAACCACATTTTATACACCGAAGCGTCGACATTTATTACAATAATATTATTGTTTTAATTTACAATCTTAAGGTGATATGTACAAAGTGCGACAGTAGATATTTGTTATTGACGCCCGTGCAGGGTGTCTTTAAAGTTGACTGTATGTTTGTACAGGTAGGTAAATATAAAATAAAAGAAGAAAGAAGTTAAGAAAAGAAGATTACGAATTCTTTTTATAATTTAATCAATGTAGTTTTGAAGATTGTATTTACTATTTTTGTTAGTCAGTTTTTGATGTAGGAGGTGAGAAGTTAATAAAATTTGGAATCATATAGTTTAGTTTACTTTTCCGTATTGAAATATACACTAACAAAATAAATATAAAACGATGTTTTCGAAACGCTGTCTTTTCGTTTAATTCCAAACAAGTTGTTATTAAGTTTTTATAGAACATTTTATTACTACCATTTACCTATTTGACGTAATGGTGGAATTTATTTTATGGATATTTTAAAATCACTTGAAGTTTTAGTAGTTCAAACAATACAAGTATGAAACTTTCAATGTGTTTTTGTAAATGAACACGCCTAAAAGATTTTCTGTTTATATTATCATATAAACAAAAAAATACATTAATTATATAGCTTTTTTAAAGAATGTAACAGATTTTTAATCTTACTGATTCTTAGACATATATTTTTGTAGCTAAATTGATTGGCTATGACATTTTTGTAATTGTAAATTGTTTTGTACACTCACCTTGCAAGACACTTTCTATACTCTGACTCTGCGGAATGCACATACAAATTCCCACTCTTAGTACCCAACCACATAGTAGGTAATGCTGTCGTTACGCGCTCGTCTGTAACTTTTCTAGCACTCGACTGTTCAGCGAACGCATCCACACCGCGCTCTGGTGATATCCGTCTCTCAGTATCTGTATTTATGGATTTTACTATATATGTATAATAAGAAGAGAACATCGAACATAAAAATTTTAAAGTTTCGTTGTAAACCGGATGATATGTAGCTTTTTAGTAATATATGTATAGTAATATATTTTTTTGGGGAAAGGGATACTCTTCTTTAATAAAATCCCAGAGGCTCTTTTATCACTGCCTTTCAATAAATTTAAGAAATGTATTAAAGAAAAGCTGTGTAAAAAGGCTTACTATAAAGTCAACGATTATCTAGTTGATAAAAGGGCCTGGGACTAGTGCTAGACAGGCTACTTCTAATTAATTTGCGATATTTGCTTTAAAATAAGTGTTGTTTGATGATTTGCTGTTTTAAAAGAGTACCGACAGTTTTTTACGCCGGCTTTTTCTCGCGGCCTACACCCTCTGTCTTCTTTGCCGATGAGTAGGGATGCCTTCAAATTTAATGACGTGAAATAAGTGATACATGTATCTTATGTTCCATAATAAACATATTTTATTTTTATTTTATTTTATTTTTTATGCGAGTATGCAAGACAAGATTTTTCGAGCCAGTAGTTTCTGAACTTGACCCAACAAAAACAATTGTTTTAACTCTTTTGTATACATAGATAAATTAACTTAATTTTACAAAAATAAATATTATCCATAAAATTTAGATTTAAAATGGAATGTAACAAAAGGTATTATTATTTTTTTATGCACACCAGTGTAAATTGTTTATCCTATAGACTAGAGTGATTATCAACTAGGTACATTTAGATAAAGTATTTTCTTAATACATATATTAAGTATACATTTTTAATAGCATTACAAATAAAAATAATAAAGATAAAATATAAATAGTAATATATAAAAAAAAAGGGTGCGTGTACTTATGTACGCGCGTAAGAAGTTATACTTCTTTGGCATTATTAAAAATAGTTTTTGATTGCATGCAAATAATTAATTACAATTAAATAATCAAAGACTGGAAAAGGAGTCATTAAAGTCAATAAAGTTCAGTATACATTTGAAAAATTAATTAAATAAATATTTATTATTATTCTCTTACATTAAACAAATAAAACACTATTTATCTTTAAAACATTTTTATTTCATTATACTATTTATTTTTAAGTGACTCTAATGTCTTCATCAGAATTTCGGTTTGTAATTTTAAATTAATCATTACTTGGTTGTGCATCTACGAGGCTTCTCCAAAACTACTTGCTTTCTGCAACAAATAAGAGAATATTAATTTAAGCTCTGTCCATGCAAAACTTAAAATTTTTTTATAATTCATATTATAAATTTTTTTAACACATTTATATTAATATAATTATATAAATGTGTTAATAATATAATTTGTAGCACATGCTACAGACCTGGATAGCAACTTTCTTTTATTCTATTTAGAGATAGAGATAATTTAAATATAATACCGGTGTCTTCCTTGTAGGTTTCTTTGGAGTTGTTTGGGGATTCTTGTTGTTCAGTTCGACATGATTTTCTTTAACCTTTCTTTAATCCTACAAAATAATGAAATTGTTAAGTTATGTTGTCACTGTTGTGCACACCTTTGTTTGCTTTTTTAGTATTCAAGTTATGTCAAAACTGATTTATTACCTTGTCATTGTTGGCTTTATTTGCTTTTGGGATATCAATTGTTTCCAAAATGATTTTATTTGTAATAACCTGAAATATATAAATAACATCTATTAATTTAAGTATCATGGTGAGTGGTTCGCACTCAGGTATTAAGGTGTATTATACCCACTGTCCATTATAAGTGGGAATGGGCTCACTTCTGGCAGGACAGAGTTTCGGTACTACAAGTGCAACATGGATGTTTTGAGGTATTACAATATCTCTAACTACCCTGTAGGGGAATAAAGTAATGTTGTAAGCATATGCCTATGCTTGAAAGGTTGAACCTTGAACATCACCATACATCATATTTATAATTAACATTCCTACCTCGACACCATCACAATCAAATTCATTGAAATCTACTTCAAACCATTGTGTCTCGAGAAGGTGATGGTGGCTTTGTTCCACCTCCAGTTTTTGATGTTTCACGGCGATAAGATGACAACTCTTTTTTTTGTATTCAATTTAGTGCACTTCCACTGATTCATCAATTGTTTTTTGTCTCTTGTCCTTATATTTGCTAGATTAAATCTGATGTTTTGATTAAATAATGTGGTCATTTTTTTTGAGATGCAGGTACTTATTAAAATGTTTACTTCTCTGTTATATCGCTCCAAGCCTTCATTTTCTCCTTATTAGTATTCGTGCTTAAATCTTTGTTCTCAATTATTGATATATAGGGTCGTAGAATATTTCTAAAAAGTTGCTGTAACAAACGCAATAAACAAAAGCAATGAATAATGGTTCATGTTTCAGTTTTAATCAACAATAATACTCGATAATACATACGGATAGTTAACCTCAATTGTATTGAAGCACTCAGGAAGGTTAGCACAGTTTTTCCACAAATATTTTGTATAATGAAAATAACTAGGTATATAATTATTAATTTTAAACAATAATTAAAACTCCTATATTTGTTTAAAAGGTAAATGTCATTGTCAGATGTCAATTGTCATGGTCATTCAAAATTCTTGTTAAGCTGCTAAGCTAGAATATGCGTGAAGTTAGCTTCACGCATATTCTATTTCTTTTTACTTGTAGATTGTCTTAATCCCATCTCGCTCGCGCACGCTATATCACACTGCCAATTTTGTGTCATAGGTGCGCGCGCAATCGTAAAATTTCACTCTCATCAATTTTTCATAACGCGCCTAAAGAAGTACAACATAAAAAACGCACTTTCAATACTTTATTTTCAAGTTGAGGCAAAACTAAACGATAACGGCGATCTAAATTAATGTTTTATTCAAAAAAATAATTTGCATTTTAATTTGGCTTTGACTAATAAAGCCAAATATGTATATGAGAACTGTAGTCTAATCTCTTAATAAGATATATCCTATAATATATCGGTTTAAATTAACTCGCATTAATCTATAACGAGCGTTTCAACTTCAAGGTCCTACAAACAGCGAACTCCAATTGTAAAAAGCATAGTTGGTTAAAATATTAACATATAATTTTATACCTTTACTATTATTAATTGGTGTAGAGCTTAACGGCGGGCTTTCAGAGATGACTTTGTCGAGGTCTTCTTCAACGTTGTCTATCGCTGATTCTTTCGGAGTATTAATAGGCCCAGTCTCTTTGATTGGAGTACTAGGAGGTGTGAGGATGTTTGCTTGTACCTAAAGTAACAATTAAATATACAATTACATTTTCAATTGACATGTCGCATAATATCGAAAGAAGAATAAATTTTTTGACAAATAGGAAATACAATTTTCTTAGATAAATCTTTTCACCAATGAATTTCACGTACATGTCGGAAAAGAAAAACTATGAAAGACACAAACAGATGTGCCCCATTCTGGATTTAATTTTGGAGCTAACAGGCAAGAGACGACAGTAAGCGGCAGGATGGGATGTCGTTGATCCCTTGGAGTATGAGACGGGCTTTGGAATGGGATACTACTTGTTTGGACACGGTAGGCTCGTCTCACCTCCCTCGGACAAGCACAATAATAATAATAGCCGTTAATAATCAAAGATAAGAGTCTTTCCTCCATTTTTGATTTTGTACCCTTTCAAGTAGAGACTCTTGGGCTAATTAAAGATTTAAGTTGGCGCCTGGTAGATAGTACCGGTGACCCAAGAGCTGGTGCTTTCAACGAATAAGTATCGCTATACGGCGAGGAAATGCTGCCAGCGTTACAGGTGCACTGCCGCCACAGAGACCAAACTTGTAATTTGTTTTTTTGACGATCTTTGATTCGTAATTATTAATATTTATATATTTTGATTATTTTATTCAGACAATTTGTCTCTCATAAAATCTCTCTTTGTGACTTTAAAATGAGTTATTCAGAAGTGTTTGTTAATTAATTTTCTTGCGTTGCTGATTGGCAACCCTCTTTTATATAATAATACTAGCTGACCTGGCAAACGTAGTTTTGCCATGTATATCATTTATAATAAAAAATAGGGGTTGATCGTAGAGGGGTGAAAATTAGGGGGGGTATGTATTTTTTAATGCTGTATCATAAAAAAATAAGAAAATAAAAATTTATCTAAAAACTAAAAAAAATTTTTAGGGGTTTACCCTTTTACTTATTTACCCTTAACATTCAGGGGGATGAAAAATAGATGTCTGATTCTCAGACATACCCAATATGCACACAAAATTTCATGAGAATCGGTCAAGCCGTTTCGGAGGAGTTAAACTACAAACACCGCGCGACACAAGAATTTTATATATTAGATAATTGTTTACCATTCGAGTGCTTCCCACTATTATGTCTTTTCCGTCACCATCACTGGGCCCATTGACATTACCAGATATGGCAATTCCATTACTTTGACTTTCTGTCGAATCACTCTTACTAACACCACAGAACAAAGATCCCTGAAGATAACACAACTCATATCAATATTAAAACAATAAAGGTTTATGAATCAAGTAATTACTAAAAATATATATATATATTTAGCCTGACATACTCCTGACATAAACCTCTCGCTTCATACACTTTCATAACATTCACCATACATGCTCTTCGGTTATATGTACTTTTGGTCTGTCCCTTGTCTAGTATCTTCTGGATTTGGTCCAGGTATGTACTACAAGGCCTACACAATCCGAACTCACCATCCACGGTTGCCTTGTTTGTTCTACTCGTAATTTTTTTTAAAGATATTATATATTATAATGATATTAACTTTTTTAAGGCAATCCAAATATAATATGTTGCCATATATGTAACGTGGTGTACTGCAAGTTCTAACGGATACGGTAAATCATAGGTAGTTTTCATATTTTTTACGTAAGTTTATTAACTTACGGAATATCTTTTCGTTTCAATCTTATTATTCCTTTCTTCATACTCCAAGAAATCTTCTTCAACAGCGCCAGGCACAGAAGCAATACACAATATATGTTTGTCACTCACAGGGAACGATTCTATCACTTCAGCTGGGTTGTTCGCGTCAATAATCTGGAAAAAGTTATTTATAAATATATATTATTTAAATCATAGTTGTTGAATCGGTAATTAACTTAGCCAAAAAATGTGCATAGATTATTATAAATTAATATTACTAATAAAATATCGAGCATGAAATCGAATGAATGAAAAAATACATTCACTTGATAAATATAGCTTGCTTATGAGTGCTCCGAGTAATGTGAGAATACTAAACTAGGAATACATATCAAGCCTTTCTTTGAGAATTCTTAGGGTTAAGTATTTCATACATCTTGCACTATTCTTGAACAGTATTTTTTGTAGTACGTCTCTTTTATAGGAAGATTAAATTATCTTTAAATTAAATATACTGCAATGGTACTGGTTATGGCGATGATACTAAAAAATCAAAATTAATTTTGCTTTGAATTTGAATTTGCACTATTAAAAATTATAAATAACTCACCATAACAACACCCTTATTCTGTGTACTAGAACATATCCAGACGATAGATGACAAATTATTCTCGGGGTTATTGGGAACTTGAGTTGACGGATCAGCAGGAACTTGCTCAACTTCTGGTGAACCTGCGGACTGCGCCTTGCTCATTTCGTATGCTGAAAATATGTTTATTTAAAATCACCTATTAGCGGGGAAAACTATTTCTACTCATGGTTGATCATAAGAAAAGTAAGGTATTCTTTTCATAGCAAACCCATCTGATTCGACGGGAATCGAACCCAGAATATACTTCACGATATACGTAATGTATGTTAGATCCCGTGGCTTATTGTATCATATTTAAATGTCATTATTATACTTTCTGTTTGTTTATGTACGTAAGTACGAGTGCTACTCATATTTTAAAAGTGCTTTTCCCGGTGAATTTTAATTTGTGTTAAGGCTTTTAATTACAAAGTGCCAACGATTAATATTGTCATTTACATTTTTCATGTGATATTTATAGCTAATGCTCTAACGTATTGATTTCATTATTAAACTATTAATTTACACATTCTTAAACGTACATATACAAAACAAATAAATAGATTTATACGCAACAGGCGTCCTTATCGCTAACAAGCGTTTTCTTCCAGGTAAGGAATAGTATTTCTTATTCCTTACCTGATACTGAGATTAAAGCTCAAAAAGTCCATAGCTAAGTTAACAAATAAAATATACCATTACACGTAAAAATAAAAGTTTTACACCTCATTTTACAGTGTTTTTCTATTGTAACATTATAAAAAATGTGTTTAATGATCAAATTTTTATTCATATTGTAGTTTAAATATTCCAAATAATCCAAAATTAAGAATATAAACACTTAAGCACTTAATTATATTATAATCATATTTAGATAGCTTAAGTACATGTTTATTGCAGTTCAACTGATAGTAATAATACAGTTAATTAGTAATTAATGAACTAAACTGTAATAATTTAAACTTGTAAATTACGATAAACTTAATGGTATAATTCATGTTAAATATGAAGTACTTAATAAGATATTTGTACATATACGAATATTTTTAAGCACAGCTGTACATTTGAGGTGTTTTTGCTATTACTATTGTTTTTAATAAGGTATCTTTGGGATGCGCTTCTAATTTTACTACTGATAATATATCCTTATAGACATGTGAAGTTCTTCCGACACATCCAAGCTGAAACAATTATTGCTTCGCCGGAAATTAAACTTAGGCTTATCGTGATAACTTTAACAAATGTAGACAGGCTAATAAGCTGATGCGCACGTGTTTGCGGATTTGGCATTGGCATTTGAAATTTTCCAACCCTTTTTTTAAAGAGTTTAAAGCGGGTGTACTAATTTCACATTACAGAAGCCTATTCCAGTCAGCCACAACAGGTTTAGGAGAAAGTTCTTTGTTCATTGTTGGACTTAATAAGTTAAAAAAAAATAAGTTTGTATTGAATGTAACAAGCCCGTGGTTATTTAATGCATTAAGCATATAGTCTTAGGTTTGAGTTCAGTAAATACAGAGTGCAAAAAAAAATATGCAAATTATTTAATTAATTACCTAAGCACATTGCAGTGTTCCCGATGTTTCTCGGATTGAAGTCTTTTCCACCAGTCAAATTAACAGCCGCAGCGCATAAGAGTGACATACGAGGCTCTGCTTCCGCTATGGGTCTAAAATTGATTAACATTTTGGTTATACATAAAGCTATGTATGTCTGTAAATTTTAGTAACTAAAGAAGAAAAAATAAAAAGGATTGTTTCTTTTATTCTATATAAATCGAATATACTATTTAAATTACGTTTTCGAATCACCGATCAGATTGTTCATAACTAATATAATGCGATGGAAAAATAAAACTCGTGCACAAAACTAGAAACATGCCAAATGGCGTCAGCATCGTATAAAGTATTTTAATTTGTGTAAATAACAAGATATCTTAAACATTACTAAATTGAAATACAATTCTGGGAATTGTTTTTGTTCCATGTAGCAGCAAATTTCTATTCAACATTTATTTATTTCACAGAATACATACGTAGTCGTAATTATAAATAATATAATAATGCATATGAAAATATTTATTTAACCATGTAGTACCGAGTAATACATTAGCCGCGGTATGTTAAATATAATATTACTTAAAGGTAAACCTTATCTAAATCTAAAATAATCGTTGGCCATGAACGTAGAATGATTCGGTTAATGCAAAAAGCTATTCAAAAACCTAAATATATCTTGAATTTTATATATAATTTTGTATTTTTATGATAATAAAGTCGCCTAAATCAATTTCTATTATATAGCTGATATAAATACTTTGTTGCTTTGGTTAAGAGTTCGTGTTGACTAAGCTGTTAACAAAGAAAGAAAAGAAAGAAGAAAGAAATAAAGCATACCTGCAAAATACAGGCACAGGTACTGGGACTCCTCCTGACGACAGTGATACATTAGGCCCCTTCTGCCCTTGTTCACTTTTCCCGGGCAAGCTCCAACCATAAGCCTGGGTCCTACCATCTTCCTTTCGAACGTGAGCTCTTACCTACAATTAAGATTAAGCATTAAAATTCTGATTCCGAATTTCTCTCAGTTTTAGCTCCATATTAGGTGACCTGCTAAAACAGATTAAAATGAATGAATTCGATACGGACTTCAAACATACGTGAATCGAATTCAGTTATTAAGAAAAAATACTTTTAGGTACTGTACTTTTTTAAATTTTATTTCTTATTTAGCAGTTCCGAATACGAAAAAAAATTAACAAGATGTCAAATGTGATCTATCAAATTGGGCCTACCATAGATGTAAGTGGTTTTGTGTTTGAAATTTTAAAAAGCTGATAGTGTGGGCGAAAGACAGCCGTAAATTACTTATACGTAAAATCTAAGTGTATAATTTTTGCGAATAAATGAAAGGAGAAGTATGGATAGCTTCTGTTGCTTCAAAAAATGAAACCCAGACTATTAGCTAGTATAATAGGATAAGCTCAGTTAAGATTACATATAAAAAAAATTAGTTAAAAATAACAAAAAATAAATTTAGACCTGGCGAAATTGTTCAGTTCTCTCTTGCCGCCGGTGATGATGGTCAGACAACTGGGTTTCAAGAAAATCCGCTTGAGTCCTCGAGTGTCTCAACGATGGCTGAGGAGCCGCCACTGCTTTTAAATGCGGCGTCGATAATGGGCGCTGTGGACGTTCAGATGTACTGAAACAATATGTCGACAAAATTAGTCAATGTAATATAATAATATTATTAATAAACTTTAACGAAACAACTTTGTTAATATAATATATTGTATCTTGTAAGCTGTCATTTTTATAAATAGCAAAAGTCCATGCGTTCAAACATTGTGTATAAATATATATATTATGTACCATACAATAAAAATATAATGCTATTTATAATATAGACTCGGATTTTACAGTATATTATTACTTATTCTACCTAGCTTTGAAATTTACATACCATTACATACATTAACGCGTTTTGCGTTTCGTGAAAACTTCGTCTTTTATATATAGACATATAGACAACCACAAACATATGATAACATATTACACACTTTTATTTGAGTGTCTAAATATTATTAAAATTCATATAAAACAAATTCAACATTCGGCCTTCGAACATCGCAAGAGCTGTAATAATTGCATTGCAAAACTAAGAAGCGTAAAAATATTATAAGTAATATGTGTTTCGCAATTGGGTTAATTATTGTTATTTTCGACTAGCTAAAACATTACAATGAATTACATTTTTTGCTTGTCCCACTTATAGTTGTTGTTTTGAACTTTAAAACGATTCAATTGCTTAAGACATTTCATTCGCAAACAGCAAGTAACATTAAAATAGCCAATGTAAAATGGTGTTTATGGTTTGTTGAGCTTGTATGAACAACTTTCGTTCGTTGTAAAATTGACGTAAAAATCTTAAAGTGTATTATAAGTTAGCAGCGCTTAGTTCTTATAAATGTCAAATTTGCTGATCACCTACTTTAGAATAAAAATTTAAACACTAGACTTCATATAATACATGATAAAATTCTCGTGTCACAGTTTTCGTTGCCATACTCTTCCAAAACGGCTCGACCGATTCTCATGAAATTTTGTGTGCATATTGGGTATGTCTGAGAATCGGACAACATCTATTTTTCATCCCCCTAAATGTTAAGGGTAGTCCGCCCCTAAATATTTTTTTTTTATTTTTAGATATTTTTTTCTGTTTTTATTTTTTTATGATACAGCATTAAAAAATACATACAAACCTCTAACTTTCACCCCTCTACGATCAACCCCTATTTTTTTATTATAAATGATATATATGGCAAAACGACGTTTGCCCGGTCAGCTATTAATACATGAAATCATTGAGTGACGTAAGTTCACTGTGATATATAGATTTGTATATATTTCTCTTGCACGCTCAGCTGATTTAGTCATAGTTTTATCTTATTCGGTTATTTAATTCGTTTAGATCTGAGTCCGAGTCCTGGGATCGAGACCGATTTCTAAATTGTAGGCACAGAAGGCTGCTTCCTCACACTTGGGAGCAATTTTTAATTGTATTTTAACGAATATGCATGTCGCAATAGATTTTCACAGTAGCTGATAAAAAAACAAACACATAAACTTGACTTCGCATAATAATGTATATAAAGAAACGCAATAGCATAAATAATGAATCCTCGGTAAATTTGTACAATAAAGATAATAAAAAATAAATTCGATTTCGGGATTTTGATGTAACACATGCTAAGCTTACAATATTCAATTTAGTTTTAAATTAATATTTAATCAGTTTAATTGTCAAAATCAATAATTGCATAATTAATCAATATTTTATAATAACTTAGAAGCTATAAGAGGAATACAAGTGCTATTTACCTAAAAAGTTTGCTGAAAAAAGTCCAAATGCTTTGTTTGCTCTTCTTATCCATGGTAGATTCGACACGACTCGCCCTAACAATTTCCGTCCAGCGTACGGCATCTTGCAACTCCATGTAGCGTTCCTATATACAATTTTTTTTTTTGTAAAATTGCTTTAAATTTCTAGGATTGCAAAGCAAAGTAGCATCGCTTTTTTAATAATAATAAAAATTCCATAGGTTCCAAGTACTATAGTTAATAATAAAAAAACAATGGTTTACTAATCAAATGATGACATTGTTGCAACTTCATTAGCAAAAATATTACTCCAACTCAACTTACATCTTAAGCTCAAATTACAAATATTAATACCAGCATTAACTATATACACTTTATATATATTTATGCTCATAATATCATTAAAATCACCTCCAAACTTCACGATACAACCTTGATACGTATTAATTACTACGTACCTTATATTGATTGCGTTCCATGAGAACTCTAGCCATTTCCACGCGAGTGAATTTCCTTCTTTGGGCCATTGGAACATCAGCTTCATCCTCATTCTCCGCACCACCAGCATTTGAGCTCATTGTTTCCTATTAATAAAAAATACCATCCCTTACAACAATCAGTCTACTGCCAAGTACTTATTCTGTTAAAGTTTTATAAGCTACATTAAAAATTGTAAGAACAATTGGAAAAATCTAACTCGCCTTTGGCTAGTGCACTCTTTAGACTAAAGTACTGTTTTTGCACCAATTATATTATTATTATGCAGACGTTGCGCCCACTGAATGCTGTCTCCAACACTTCCGAGTTCACAGTAGCGATATTGTGTATATTACGTATTTAACATTATATCTTTATTTTCGACATTATCGTATTGGTTATTTTTGTGAATAAATATGTACGCTGTGACAGCAAAAGACAGAGTAACTAAAGCACTGTGCACTTAGGCAACAGTCTATAAATCATTATTATTTAAATAAGAGGGTTATTAATATTAAGTAACTGACGTTCATAAATAAGGCATTTTTTTCGTCGTATTATTATCTATTTTCCATAACGTTATGGCGGCTATATTGCACTTACTTTCAAATGTCGCAATTCATCTTCAAGATGGGTGACGCGTTCTCTAAGCTTCTCTCTAGCCGAACTAAGGTTCGCTACTTCCTCCCTTAGTATTTCTTGTTCACCGGTTAGTTCATCAACCTTTACGATTAAATCATCTTTCACGACATTCAAAGCGTTTCTGTGGAACAAAAGAATACTATAACACTCTATTGAACTTTCTATATAAGTTTTATATCGGTCGTCAAGGATAAAATTTAAAGGGGCATTTGCGTTTCACTACTATTGTTAGTAAAGCGGCCGATTGAAGAGGAGATTTGGTGAGTATTAAAACATTATTTGTATATTTATTATTAATAACATAGACGGTATATTGATTTTGAAAGTTGTTTTCAAATAGTATTTAGTTAATTACTATTTGACAATTCGCCAAAAACAAAAGATTATGTTGTACAAACGCCGAAATTTAAGAACAGACGTTTAAAACTCCACCTTCGAGCTTTCATGAGTATTATCATATATAAAGTTCATACCGTAATTCATTAAATGGGTAAGAACAATCACATATATTGTATTAGAAAATAATAAACAAAAGACAAATACAGTTAGCGGTAACAAGGACTGCAAGTCTGTTTATTAACGATAATTTTAAGAAAACAGAATAAGAACGAAGAATTAATGGATAAAAATTACATTATCCTATAACTGCAATAATACCTTATTTTGTACTTACTTGGTAGCTAGAAGTTCGTTGTTCTCCAAGATAAGATTTTCGACTTCCTTCCCCATACCTATTTTAATATAATTATTATTACATTAAATAATGTCTGCACAGATATCCAAAGATAAGTTATATCATATATTTATAAAGAGGTCAAAAAACAACCATAGGGACAAAAAAATAAAAATTCACACACTCATTTTAATGTACCTACTTCGTCGTAGTTCAAAGTCAAAACAAATAATTTTAAATGTGTATTAACTTGGTTAATGTGTATTAATTAACTTTCCATGGTTATATTTATATCAGTAGATATGCAACATTTAAAAAAATAAGGCTATTATTAACCTAAATACCCTTTTTGTTGAAGGTGTAAAAATAGGATCACGTAAACTGTGTTTTTGATTCAATCTGAGCATATGATAATCGTCTATATAATTTTATCCAAAATCTGTAATAGGGTGTAAAGAAAATTTAAGTTGTTTTTGACTTTGCACAAAGATCATCTAGAAGGCCGTTACAAAAAACATAAACATAATTAATAGGTTGCTTATTCGCGATTGAGCTTTTAACTCCCATTAAATCTCTTTATAATTTTCTTTAATTAACAAAACGATATTTAATTTAAAATTAAGGTACTTAATACAGTGACCCAAAAGTAAAATAAGTTATAGATTAACATAGTTCGAGTTTGGGCAACATCAACGAATATAAAAATTAAAAGTCATATTTCTAAACAGATAAATTTACTTACCAAAGTAATTATCATTAACTGCAATGTGTTGGTGCAACGTATTGTTAGAAGGCATGAAAAGAACAAAGATAATTAGAAACACGCCAAACGCCACAGCATATTAAACTCCTTCCAATAAATTTTAGCTATAAAATAATTTAATCAAGCACATGCTGGTTTTTATTCGATAAATTCTATGAAAACTCGCAGTATATATAAAGGACGCAAATAAATACACTTGTATAATGTATAAAAGAAAACTAGTGTTATAAGAGTAGAAAAAATATTACCTGAGGAAGCATATTCACCAGGATGCACCCAGCTTCCTATAAAACAAAACATATGATAAAAAAGGAAGATAGAAATTTTTTCATACCTAATTTTTCATACCGCTTTAACATTATATTTTTTATGAATATAAATTTGGTTTTTGGACAACGTAATTTAAAGCAAATGCAGGAGTAATAGTGGATTAAATTAGTCTCATTCAATATACGATTGTGGATACAAAAAAAAAAATCTTTGGATTTCGTTAAAAAAAATAAACCAGAATTGACTTGTTGACAATATTCATTATTATTAACAAAGATAAGAACTGCAAGAGGAACTACCTGTTATGTCACCGTCATCTCCCTCTACAATACTAGTATCCGTATCGTGGAAGGCTAGTTCTTGATACAGAGTATTGGCGCTTCGCTTTTCGCTCTTAGTTTGCGATTTTCCAGTACTAGGCGGCGGTGCAACTGGTGATGTAGCCTGAAAAGTAGACATCGTCGAGCGAACTTAAGATAAGTTTCTGTCTCTAAATATTTAAATATAATAAGCTTCTGTTTTTTATATACAATTTTATAAAATTACTAGCTGACCTGGCAAACGTCGTTTTGCCATGCATATCGTTAGTAATAAAAATAGGGGTTGATCGTAGAGGGGTGAAAATTGGGGGTTGTATGTATTTTTTAATGCTGTATCATAAAATTTTTTAAAATTTATCTAAAAATAAATAAAGAAAATTAGGGGTTAACATTTAGGGGGATGAAAAAAAGATGTCGTCAGATTCTCAGACATACCCAATATGCACACAAAATTTCATGAGAATCGGTCAAGCCGTTTCGGAGGAGTATAACCACAAACACCGCGACACGAGAATTTTATATATTAGATTTAACAAAATTGATTGTATATTTTGAATTATTTCATTTTATTTATGCATTATTATTTTCTTTTTGAAAATAGAAGAAACATTTAGTAATATCAAGAATTTTCACGTTTGGCTAAGTTGTTACATTAATTATTTATTTGATGATTGTTTTTCTTTTACTTTCATCGAAACCAACATGATTGGAACTCTTTGGAATAAAACCTTTTCTTGACAAAATATTTTTTAAATTAAGAAAATTAGTCATTATTATTGTTAAGTGTCAGTGCCATAAGAAATAAAATGAAATGTTTGATTTACGACAACTTAATCTTCGTTGCAATTATTATAATTTTAGGAATGTGTAAGCAAGCCGTAAGCTTAAAATGTTATCAGTGTTCAACAACATACAATCCCGGGTGCCTTTCAAATAATTTAAAAACCACATATTTGAAAGAATGCAATACAAGTAGAAGCAATGTCATCCCTGTGTGTCGTTTACTATCTCAAGTGCAATATTTTACAGAAGATCGTGATGTAACAGTCCTGAGAGAATGTGCTTATATATACACGGAACCATTAAAGTGTGTACTATCGAAATTTAGTAACTTGCACTTTTCCTCATCATGTGAATGTAATGAAGACGGCTGCAATGGTGCTAGCGGTCTGCACATAAATTTGTTTTTGTATACCATGGTTATATGGGCAATAAAGTAGATTTCGCATGAATTTGTGTGTTTACTTGAGAAGTGTACAGATTACACAAAAATTTCGATGCTAATTTTTCTAAAGTATATTGTATATATATACAGCGTCTGAAAAACAGTGATTCATTTATATACATAACATAGAATTATTTATGTTAACTGCCTTTTGGGTTCATAGTTCCTTACCTGACTTTGTTGAGTGATAGGATCAGTCTGATGAGCTCTTTCTACTGTTCTCACAGCTGCTAGCTCAGAGCCTGTAATATATTTATGCAATATTTATTATGTGCAGAAGGAATATTTTTTCCAAAAATCGCGATCAACGTTCATTTTAATATTATTTTAAGCTTGCTGCTAAAACTTTTTAATTCAATAGAACAGAACATAGATCAATCAAATTATAACATTGTTCAAGTTTGTTATTTAAATCCTTTAATGAAAACAATTAATTATCTACAATAAAAAGCTTTATACTAAAAATAGGTTATGGGTATAAACCAAAATTAGTGGGGCTTGCCTAACATAATTCAAGTAGGTAAATTGTGAATCTAAATAAATCTAAGTAATCTCAAGTTCGAAGTTTCAAATTGACCTGTATGATACTATTATACTATTAACATAATTACCAATTGGTGGTGAAGATGGAGATGATGAAAGGCTTACAGGGCTTCCAGGTATACTTTCTGTTTGCTCCACAACATTTACAGAGCCCTCAAGTGAAGCAAAACCAAATGATATAGGACCTGTTGGATTAATTAACTAAACTAGTACTTTCCTTCAAAACTATTTATTCAAGAAATCAAATTTATCAAAACACAACATATTTACAACATTATAAATAAAATGTTCTCAATTGATTAAAGTATGCACATATTTTTTCTTAGGAAAAATTTGAATAAAATTTTGTTTTGAAATTAATTACCTTCGTAATTTACCTTGATATACTTTGAAATACAAAATTGCACACAATTACATTTATTTAAATCATATTACAAATATCAAGGGGCATGTAGAATTTCTTTTTAAAGTTTTTATTTTCAAACTATAACTACCATATTTACACGCTGTTACACATTATTATTTGCACTAAATGTTTTAATAGTTGTGCTTAAACATTTAAGTGAACTATAAATTGAGATATTTAAATTACTCATTTAGTAGGAAGCAATTATTGATAACTCACCACTAGATCTTCCAACTGGATTTAGGCCAAGCCTACCCCGGACTTCACTTCTGTCACTGGCAGTGCTCAACAATAATTTAGTGCGTTCCATGTAATCCATGTGCGTCTTAAATAACTCTGTGTAACGTTCGTGAAGTTTAGCATACTCCTATTTAAAAAATAATAATAAAGTTAGTAAGCTTTAGACTACATAGTTATTCAAATATAATATCAATTCTATACCTTCTTTAGCTCATTTTCTCGCTCTTCTAAGCGGCTAGCATGATCAAGTGAGTTCTTATGCTTCAACTCAAGCATTCGAACAATACTATCCAATGCCTCCAGTCTGCTTGTAAGGTCCTTTCTTTCTCCTTCATAATGGTCTTCAGCCTCCAATAACTGGTAAAAAATAAGGTATACTGGATATGTATTCATAAAAAAGTCTGCACACGAGTAAGTTTTTGTTTCTTGTTATTTAAGACAATTACAAACATTAAATGAAACAGTACATGTAATTATAGCACTAAGCGTGTTTCACAATTCAAATTTGAAAGGCAATTAAGAATACTTGGGTACAAAGATTATACATTTTAGAGTTTTTATAAAACATTGATTAACATAAGCTTTGAATGTTATTAAATTTTAGTTTAGGACATTCAAGTTGATTTACTTATTACACAAGACATAATATAGCATGTTACTGGCTTACCTTGAAATTAAGATAACAGAATGGAGAACACATTTTAAATTTGATTTCTACCTAATTATAGATACTTACTAAGTTAATTAAACAACTAAAATAATGGTGTGATATATCGTAAATACAATAAATGGTGACCTTGTTTATTGTAACAAAGGAAGCTAAGTGAATGTCTAAGTAATAATTTTAAAAATGCTCACCTTCTGTTCCGCATGCTTCCTCGCCGCCTTCTCGCGTTCATACTGCGTGACCAGTTGCTCATTATCTTCCCGCAGTAGCTCTAATTCCACTTCATGCTCTTGATTTGTTTGATAAGCGGAGTCTAAACATTCTAGTACATTAACCACCAAGGGCATCAACGTCTTCACGACATCTTCATCATATCGAGCTATCATTCGTTCAAACTCTTGGTAAATACTACCAGCCAATGTCTGCACCTTCTCTGACATCACTACGTGAGAGTCTTCATGAGTGCCATATATTGTTTCAGACGTGACATAGTCGCTGTTCGCTGACTCGTCGAAATTCATATTTGAAGATGAAATTGCCTTAATGTTTTAATACTATTCTACTACGATGTGCCTTTTAGGGGCAATTAATAAATATTACGCGACATTTTACGATTTTCTATACACTCACTGTTCTACATTTCACTGTCTAGAATAAAATTAATAATAAATAACAAACTCATAGTTTGTTATTAGAAAAGAAAATATGTAAATATTATAAGTAAAGAAGAAGATAGAAAAATAAAAATACGATCAGACCATTTCATTTATTGACGTATTTACAGTGAAAATTTCGATTAACGATTGACGTTGGAACTGTTTCCGGTTTATTGTAGACAAAACAGTTCATATCCGGTACACAGATGCGATATGTTACAGAATAAATAAGATAGTTATATATAACGATACATATAGTTTATTGATCCATAATTAATAATAATTACATACATTACCTAATTTATTATAATTATCCATAAAACCTGTATCGAGAAACCAATTGTTGATCTTGTTTTATTTTTACTTTATTAAATATATAAAACCTCCAATAGCGAACTCAGTTTCCCTCAATAGATAACATTGCATTTTTTTTTAAATCAATTTAACCAGAACCGCAACCTTTCATAATGACGTCTCAAGTAGACTAGAACATAAATTTAAAATACCTACCAAATCTACGCTACCAAAGTAAAACAGTGACAATTTTATTTTACAAAGACAAATGGAAATGTATACTTTTATGTTTGTAATTATTTACTAAGTAAACAAGAAACACAGAATGACAGAGAATTAGTGTCTGTTATTGTGTAGAGATGATATGCTAAACTATTTAGCAATTATTGTCTGAACCACTCATGAGACTTTACCAACTGAAATTGGTTAAATGAAACATGTTGTTAAATCTTTATTTGTTTGGTTTGTATCTATTTATGTTTAGTACTGAATGTATATTCTAGCAAATATGTGGACCCAGGGGCATGTTGATGTCATGATGCTTGTTAATCGTCCACTGCTAATAAAAGGTTATATCAACTGATAGGGCTATAATCGGTTTTCTATCACCATTGTACCTAATTTATATAGAATTCCAAGTGAAAGTCAATAATTAATTTGATATGACTTCAATTTAGAAAAAATATAATAGATAAAATACAGACAAAGTTATCTAAGCTTAATTTGATGTACTCTGTGTAATGCATGTGGTGCTGCTCGCCAACGTCATTTGACAGTTTGTCAGCGTATCCTTAGGCAAGACGTGTCAAGTAAAATGTGTTTTGAACTGTATATTGCTTGAAAATTCTAAAAATAAATGTTAATTTCAAATATAAACCGATTATTTAAAATATTAAGCAAAAGGACTGCAGGATAGTAATTTGTAACAAGCTTCGCGTCAAATGTATTATGTTGTAGTTGTGCCTGTAATTATTGATTTAGTTAAATAGTGTATTGGTGTATCTAGGACATTGTATAAACTAGATTTTTTTTAAAATGGCAGCCAACGTTCTCAACTTTTTCTCAGATAGCAAATCTGTATTTTGGGCGTATGTGTTTTGGTTGTTTGGTGGTATTTTTGGCTTGCACCATTTTTATTTACGGCGGGATAGACATGCATTTATTTGGTGGTCAACTCTTGGATGCTTTGGAGTTGGTTGGCTGCGAGAAGTTTTTCGGATCCCACGCTACGTGAGAGATGCCAACGACGACCCTCAGTCTATTCAATATTTGATTGGCAGAATGCGACAATACAAAAAGGTGAGTTTAGGTTAATAACTTTAAAAACTGCTAAGTTATGTAGGGTATATTATTTTTATTGCTAAAAATTATAAATGAGTATAGAAAGAGCTCAGAGAGAAACTTCTAGATCATCTAAAATCTGGCCTTTGTGGAAAATAATTCTTTCCATCATTGCCATAGCTGCCTATAATTATAAATTGTCAAACAAGAACTTAAATTAAATATAAAATTTTCTATTTTATTAAAATACTCCTTATTTTTTAATAGCCTCCTTTTTCTATGAATCGATTCATGGGTATGTTGATGGTTGGATACTCTTGGGGACAAATGATGATGCTAGCAATACCTCCTGAAGAGTTTTGGGGCATCAATTGGAAATATTTTAACTGGTTGGTTCCTATTGTAGTAGCTCTTGGTAAGTCAATTTCTTATTTACGAAGACATAGTAAATTTACTAACTATATTTACTTTTGCAAATACTAAATTTAGCAGTTATGGCTTATGTGTGATTATTGGTTGATTACACTATTTACTTTACCTTTTTTACTCTGAATAATTAAGTAATTTATAGTAATTGTATTTTTGTAGGTGTTTGGACCGTTGGTAATATTGGTCGTGAACAGGGTGCCTTGAAATGGCCATTGATTGCAGCATTGGCTGCATATCCCGTTCGCTATTACGTCTACGATGAAACACTCTGGTTTACATTTATGAATATGGCTGCAGCATTGGCTTTTGATACATTAAGCAAGGAATGGCGCAGAACACCTCATAAGAAAACACATTTTGCCAAGTTAGTTTCTCTCAATCCCACATTTTACCAGAACATATTATAAAATTGGGAAACTTATTATTTGGAAGCCACATACAACAACAAATAATAATAATAAGACCAATGCCTTCCATACTATAATCAATAAATGTAGTTATTTCAAATATAATTTTTTTCATACTATTTTTAGATTTGGAAGAATATTATAATATCTAATTTATCTATTTTTTTTTTTTTAAGGCGGGTGGCAATATTAAGTTTGTGTGCCAGTTTGTACATATCGCTGTGGTGTGGCTATTTATACTTCCATGGAACCTTAACTGATAGTGATGGTGATGAAATACCCATATATGAAGCTTTACATCACTTCCATACAAGCCCATGGTAAGTTTGTATAAGTGCATGTAATTTCATAGCCCATAACCAAGAGATATTTATGTTTCATTGAAGTTGATGATTTTTGGGGTATGGGGCTAAAAACATTGTTGAACATCTCAGTAAAGTTTTATTTAAATATGAATCTCAGAACCCATAACAATAATTGGTCTACCAGAAGTCCAGTCAGACTCCAGTTTATAGAATGTGTGTACTTTAAACTTAACTTTTAAATAACATGTCTCATATAATGTAACTCTACTAACAGTATAATTTTTTAATAGGTGGCTTGATTTAAAACAAAGCCTCTTGGATACCTATCAATACGCCCAGCATCATGGCTGGTATGAGGTTTGGAAGCAAATAATTGATCTGTCTGATCCACACGGGGAACAAAATGCCTACAAAGTAAGTACTAGTACTAATACTTTATTTATCTATTGTATAAAAACAATTAGCAACGCGAAGTATGATTTGCCATGCCAGTCATAAATATATATTTAAGATATTAAAAAGATATAAAAATTGCAATTTTAACCCAGGGAGTCCTCAAGTTTATGCAAAATAAGTGTTTATATACTTACAGGTTTAGTTCTAAGACAAACCTTTTTAAGGTAATACTGCTTGAACTCTAATTATACTGAAAGTCATATTAAAAAAAAAACAGGAGACTAACCTAATATTAGATATACCCATGGGTACCCAACGTGAAATAAATATTTAATTTTAGGTACTAGGCTTGGGCTTTGACGCAAGTCAGCAAGAGATAACGTTAACTTGGAGGAAATTATCTCGGGAGAATCATCCCGACAAAGTTAAGGATGCTAAACTGCGGCGCGCGGCTCAAGAACGGTTCATGGAAATCCAAGAAGCTTACGAAATACTCTCTAATAGTAAACACAGAAGAAACAGACGGAACAAGAAAGACAATTCTGATTTACATGAAGATCCGAATAAGTCCGTCAAATCTCAGTAATTTAGAATAGCTTCAACTAATTTTCATATAGAAGTTTACGAGAAGTATTAGATAAGATTATTAAAAAATATGATGCTCTAGAAATATGGCGTTGCGAATTATGGATTTGTAAAGGAACTAAGTAATCATAGCTTAATCGTAATTTTAAAGCATTAAAAACATTTTATTTGTATACTAAAGTATATGTCTGTATGTAATACGTCTTATTCTAGTGATTATTGTATTATTATTATTATATCGTAATTTTATCCTTGTATGCATTTTGTAAGTTCTATGTAACATCAGATTACAGCGTTTGTCGATTTAACTTCAAACTTTATTAAAATGTCGAAAGCACTTGAAGGTTGGGTTGCCTTTTTTTATTTCTATATAACTATACGCCGTCGTGTCCGCTATATATGGATTCACATAATAATTGAATAATATATGAGTCTTTTTTTGATACACAAAACTTCTATATGTATTTTTTAGTTGATTAGCTAATGTAACTAGATCTGAATTTATCTATTACTTGCGTATCGAATTAATGAAATGGATTATTTTAAGTACCTTAGGTTAGTGGGTTAATAATTATAAATTTATCTATAGATACGATAGACCTATAAAGTAATGATCGATTAGCACTAGTCGTCGAGTACCTACTGTATTGATGCTCGTTTACAAGTGAACGTTATCTAAACTAGTACTATATATCCACCTTTGTAACATATCAAAATAATATATATGTTTAAGTATGTTGTGAAATTATATACTTTTTCTTTATAAATAGAAAACTGGAAGCTCATCTGGTTACCGACGCTCATATACACTGACATAGCCAGAAGGTGTAGAATCTGTTATTTGTAACATAGGTTTGATAAAATTGGAGCATTATATACAGAGCTCAAGAGGCCAAACATTTCGTCTTCTATTATATCTTCCATTTTGTATACAATAATTAATAAGTTTACTTAAATTTACGTGTGTATAACGTCTTTTGATAATTAATAATATATTTTTGTACTTAATATTTCTGTATTAAATGTTGTTTGTTAAACGTTTAACGTTTCACCAACAAAATTATATTGCTCAACTTTATAGTAGGTTAACTATACTAATTTAGCGGGGAGATACGCGCAAATATTATTTATCCATTATGTATTTAATGATAATTCAACATTCTATAAATCAAATATCGATTTTAAAGTCATTCCTAACATAATATACATTCCAACCTAATTAAAAAACCTAACAATCAAATACGACCATCAAAATTAGTTCTTAGTTGGATATCAAGTAGGAGAAAATCTCATATTAAAGAAAAATAAGAACTTCTAGGTTGTGCTAAATATGATTACCGATTAAATTTATATACTACGTACGTCTGATTTGTGTTGTTATTGTTAAGACATCTTATTTCCGTGCATTTAAAAACCAAAAATATTTAATAAATAAATACCTAATTGTTAAGATAATATATTTTCATTATAGATTATTTTTTGGGGATGAGGTCTCTTTATATTTTTTAAGAGTTATTTATATGTGAACTCATTTTCATGTTGGTTGTAAGAACGTACTTAATCTTAAATATTTAAAATAACCTTTTACTTTGTACCTTTTAGGGTCGTTTAAAGTATCTCATATCCGTCGATATTGTATTTCTATATTTTATACTTATTTATATTTATTATAAAAATATTAGATGTATTCTTAATGTACTTATTCAATTTTGATTTTGTAATAGTTAATGTAACTTATTTTTTTAAATAAATATTTTACTATTCATTTAAGATTTGTTTATATATTGAGACGATTTCAGCACTTAAGTAATGCAAAGTAAGCGATGTTTTTATAGATATCTACAGTTAGGTAGTGATTACTAATTATTTAGGAAACTAACTATATTTGCTTCAGCATGTGCACATCATCACTGCCAACATTAAAATTCAAATTAAGTTCTTGCAACACAATATATATAGTAATTGGTGTATTTGTGAGAAACTAAATAGTGCCAAAGCACTAAATATTTAGAGAATTACGTACATATGTTTTGACCCCCCGTAACTTACGCAATCAAATCTATTTCTCACTTGCACTGTCAATTTTGTCCTAATGTAGTCCTGTATGAGGTGACACAAAAAAAAGATTATATTTTCTATTATTTATTAAGGTATACAGTATCCACGTTTTCAAATACATTTATGAATCAGCCATGTAAACTATTGTTTGATCTGTAACATAAATAAATTTCATTGTCTAGAATTGCTGTTAAGTAGGCAAGCTTGCATATTTTTTTGAACACAGAAATATTATATAAATCTATGTGTACATAATGGCACAAAATTTAATTTAAATGGGATATATTTGTGACTCAAGGATTTGGTCACGAATTATTTTTATTTCATAAAATATTTTTACAACCTATATCTACAAGTTACATGGCAATCGAGGTTTGGTTTAATAAAACCTTATAAATAGTTAATAAAAATATATTGTCAGTTGTCACTTGGATACAAATTGAGCTAAGTTTGTGCTAAAGATAATGCTCATCAATTCTTATTGTAGTGTTATTTATATTCAGCCATAAATACATATTTTTAAAATTCTCTGTATAAAATCTTTATTTCTTGTGCTATTAACATAATTACAAACTTAAGAGCTACCAGGATTCTAATTTTAAAACGTATGTGTAATATTAACAGTGGCACGGTATCTGCGTACAATTTTAAATCTAGGTATACATTTTTTTAATTTTGTGCAAGCATTGGCATGTAAACGATAAAGATTGTTGATTACAGTAATGTACATATGATAAATGGTTATTTAAAAAAAGCGACCAAAACGAAGCTGCACCAAGAAGTGATGAAATCACATTTGCATATAAATAATACCTAGCATGAGTGCTCATCGTATGGCTCATAGATTTAACATACAAACTCATAAGCAATACACTATTTCTATGACAAATAGTCATATTGAATGAAATTGCTATAATTGATTAACTTATCTACAATCACCATATTTTAATCATAATAATTGCATTGTAATCTTAACTTTACTGTTTATAATAGTAATTTGAATTATATTGTCTTTAATGGCAATCTTCACCGAAAACCGATTCCATTACTTAAGTAACAAATTTATATCTACTAAATATTATTCTAATTATCACAGCTTTTATTAAAATATTTTGCTTAAACCTATACTTTGAAACATAAACATAGCCTTTCTTAACCTATTATTAATAAATAATATTTTATTTTGTTTCCTATTAGCATACCTAATAAAATTATATATCTACAAATTACAGTTCATAACAGTTAACAACAAAGATTTATTCTCGGTTAAGTTAAATATGCGTTAAAAGGTAAGACTTGGTGATGAATTATTCATCAGGCCTATCTAATCACGTTTCTGTCTAAGTATTTTAAACAAATTCGTCCAAAGGTGATTTCAAAGTATCGTTTCGGTTATGAAGAACGTTGATGTTGTACGTGTCGTATGTACACAAGTTCAGGGTCACAACATGTGTATTTCCAATAATTTAGGTGACGTAGGGTAGACCGAGGCGAATCGGATCACAGGGCGAATCGGATCAAAATAAGAAATCTGTTGATAATTCAAATATCACATTCACATAGAACGCACTCAACCGGCGTTTTGTGTCTCTCCATTTACTGAGCACCTCCCGACATAAACAGTATTTCGATCGCGCTTGTGGATCAGTGGCAATGCCGCTCGTCAGCCACTCGGTTTTTTGTGTGTGTCGCAATTTGGCGCTCATCTAAGGTTACGTACTTACGATTTCTTTGTGTCTTATGACGGATTTGTCTTAAAATTTAACTACACTGGTTTATATTGTTAAGCAAGGTGTTAATATTGAAGAACCAATTCGCTTTTAAGTATAATCTTAGAGGTTAACGTCTAAAATATTTATTTCAAAAGTCTTAATTATGGGGCTAATCGGATCATATCCTTAGGGGCGAATTGGATGATACTTTTAAACTGATTTATTACATGTTTGAGGTTATTGATTCATATTTATTTCATGACCGCCGGAGAATGGTGTCAAGAAAAAATGAAAGAGGCTGTAAATTAAGTCCAGAACAAAGAGTTGACCTTGCGTAAAGCTGCTAAGAGTTTTTCAGTACCGTTCACGAGCTAACAGAAAAAAAGGACCATAATATATATGTGAATTATGTGCCAATAATTAAAATTGATCTTAATATTATATATTTTTACTGATTTCAAAGTTATTTAACACTATACCTTAAAATTTTGTTATATTTTGTGCACGATCCGATTCACCCCGAAAGTTGGGGCGAATCGGATATTTTCCTTTTTTTAGTTTTTAATAGGTAATTAAGAGAATATATGTATGATTTAAGTTTTCAAATATTTATTTCATAGGTAATTGTTACTTCTTACGATTTTATCAATAAAAATAACATTATATAGCACTTTAGTATGATTTATTCAACCTCAAAGAAAAAGTGATCCGATTCGCCTCGGTCTACTATATTGTTTGTAAAACACACTTCACTCGCTCTGCTCACACTTAGTAATGAATGCATATATTAGAGTCCCTTGACGTATTCGTATGGCACTTTGATTGGTCTCTTTTAATATAGATGTAATGTCGTTGTTCCTTCGTCTTGTCTCGCGATTTTTTCGAAACCAGTATTACAGGTAGTATTTGAAGACTCTTCCACATAGAAGAACTTTATTCCTAAAAGCAAGAATTTTGATAAAATTGTGTTTATAACAAATAACTTGTGGTTCGCCCTTTTGTATGACTGATGTTTGCAACTTCCAATAGCGATACCGGCAGCGACCCTAATCACAGTATTGAGTTAGCACCGCGCGATCCAAAGGTTGCGCTCCAAGCCTCGGTATCGGTATCGTTGTCACTATTGGAAGATACAGTGCACGGGCGCCGGACACCGGTTCCGGTTGCTCTGAACCGCACATTTTTTAAATTTATTCTGCACTACATTTTTACGTTAAATTTATTGTAAAAATTATTGTATTCTATTAAATGTTAATTTAAAAATAGAAGTAGTAGTCGTTAGTTAAGAACAGTACTCATGACGTGTGTCCGCCACAGAAGACTGATAAACTTGTATATAAAGAATAATTATCAATAAAATAGTTTAAGTGTATTTTGGTAATTTAAAATTTCGTTTTGTATGTTACAATGTCATAATCATAAAAATTTAGTTTGTACGTAAATAAAATATAAAGTGTAAACTAACCTGAAAATATTCGTAACATTTAATGATCATTCTCGTCAAGTGGAAAGATTGTACACAAATTACACTTGTTAGTTATATCCAACTTGCTTAAATCGTCAGACTTCAATTCCCCACACCTGGATCCTAGACCTTTCAGATGCTTAAACTCTGTTTATTTAATAACGTTGAGTTTCGGTAACGGCACATGCATGCATTCTACTAATTAGCCGGGACCTTTTCTAGAAAGAAAAGGTCCGGGCCCGTTCATTGCAGTTTTATGAATTATTTGCGTTCTTTGACCAAGAAATATATATGAGTGTGATAATGTATAAGTACACACACTCTGAGGATCTAAGTCAAATAGGATGGTAGTCGCATTATACAATTTATGGATTAGCGCTGCCAAAATATCCCATATCCCCTTTATTCCATCAATTTAATTAGCAGCCTTTGTTCCGGGGTGGCACTGATCTTTAATAATGTCTTATAACTTTTCGTTCCATCTGCTAAACCATTGTCTGACGGATGTTTATACATTTTGGGTTATATTTTTAGTGAAGATACCTTTTTGTCTCGGATGTTCCCGGCGATAATAAGAAACAGTTCGTTTATTAAAGCTGTACAATTTGAATATAATGGTGTACCCATCTATGTATCTCCAGTGTAGCTCTACTTATTATAGCGGTAGTTTTTTTATACTGACTTTTTGCGGTAACTGTAAACGAAAGGTTTTATCATTTTAAAACTTAACTAATTTATTAGCTTAAGAATTTTCAACTTTTATACTACAACGTTTAGAATTTAAGTCATTAATATAATAAAGTTACATAATCCAAACGTAAATGGTTTTATTAATAAATAAATTTTCAACTCACTTAATAACAGTTACCCGTTAACACGGATGGGGTAGGATAAACTTTCTGATCCCTATTGTCTTGTTTCACTGTGTCTACAGCAAGTTCTCATTTTAGTGTGGATTATTACCACCGCTGTGCGCTTTAGCTCAACATTATGCACTTTCATATTAATCCGCATCTCGCAGCACATTGATCACATAGAAGAAAAGTTGCGTAGTAATGACTTGCAAAGTACGCTTCTTTCATTTATACTACTTCATTTTGAAATGCACAATGTTGTGATCTTTGAAACGTATTCGTAATTTGACCTCCACCATTGCCGTGACGAAGATCGACTGTAGCGATCAAGTGTATCTTTCTTTCATCCATTGCTCTTCTTGATTGATATTAATTATCAACCACGATAAATCGAAAATAGTCGTTCTACTTGTGGTATTCTATGTTGATTTATTACTATCATACTGTGGCGATATAACATACTACTAATATAAAAATAAAAATTCAAAAAAAATCAACAATTAACACTAGCCATTGATAAATGGCACGCTGAGCGCTTGCACGCATTAAGTAGATATAATTATAAGAGATCACTCTATTAACAAGTAAAACCTAAATTGTAGAAAGATTCTACGCCTTATACAGTTGTTTCATTACGGCGCAATGGTTGGAGCTCCCGTTGCAAGTCATTATAGTATTCATGATCGGACATTGACTCTTCTTCGACAGATCTTTGGGGTTGATATTTACTAGTTGTAGGCTGCGGTGTCGAATCACTGCCACTACACTCGCTTGTACTCTCTAGAGGCAAAGGTTCCGTGGGTATTCCAATTGTCTGTGCTGGAACACTTTGGTCTGACATTAAATATTCCGGATTGTCCACACATCTCTTTGAGGCCATAAAACCACCATAACACATATCTTTTATATCCTGTCCTTCCCCACTTTCGCCTATTAAGTCCATGTAAGTGGAAGCGTTTTGAGTGTGTTGAGGAGAAGGCATTAAATAATCATCCTCGTCAAGTGGCAAATTAAGTTTTAGATTTCCAACTTGTGCCTCTTTTACTTTAGACATAGTGTCGAATTTATTTTCTTCGTCAGGTCTAGATTTCATGGGATCACTACAATATCTGGAACTAGAGCTCTCCGAAGCACAAACTCCGTTATTATAATAATGACGAGTATCCGAATCATCAGATTTACTGTTTGTGTTGTTATATCTTAATAAATCTTGATCCCAAGTTTCAGGTTTGTTGGCACTGTCATTAGTCGCACCTTCTATTCTGGGTCCATTATTTGTCCATGATGTCGAGGCACCTGGTTTTAAGGATCCTGTATGAGTTTCTACACCAGCCGTAACAATAGAAACATTTGTAGTAGTACCAGGCAAATTTTTAAACTTTGGTTGTAAGTATTCATCAGCTTCTACTAAAGGCTCTGGTCCGTCCATTGCCGATGAAAGGTTCTTTATTAATTCTTTTTCGTCCTGTAAACAAATGTATACATAAATATGTGCATGATATATTTTACGTTATACTAACTGAATGTTTTATGTATTGATGTATGATTTTAAAAGATTTAGATAAGGAGGCAAAATCTTTAACTGACCTGGGTAGAATAGGATGGTAGACGCATAAACTTGTCACCGGGAATGACAAGGTACCGTCCAGGATCCCTAGCCATATCGGCGAATGTATCTGCCAATTGTTTAAAAGTGGGACGGCTATCAGCATCCAACATCCAGCATGAGACCATAACGCAGTAGATGTCAAGAGTGCAGATCGCTGGTTGAGGAAGTTTTAACCCATTTTCAATCAGTTCAGGTACATTTCGGGCTGATATATTGGCGTAGGGCCTTGCACCATAGCTTAGAATTTCCCATATAGTAACACCAAAAGCCCACACGTCACTTTTATGTGTGAAAATTCGGTGCTGTACACATTCTAATGCTAACCATTTAATGGGCATCTTACCACCCGCAGCTTTATACTCGTCTTCATTAATGTCTAGTAATTTAGCTAATCCAAAATCAGTTATTTTTACGCAATTTGGTGTTTGCACTAAGACATTTCGTGCCGCAAGATCTCTATGAACCAGCCTCTTTTCTTCTAAATAAGCCATTCCACGAGCTATTTGGGTGCACCAATTCAAGAAGGCTTTTGATCCAATTTTTTCTTTATGTGTTCGTACGTAATCCAATAAGCACCCTAAAGGCATTAACTGTGTAATCAGCATCATTTGATTTGTCATGCACACCGCAAGTAATTGCAATAAGTTGGGATGTTCAACACTAGCCATTATGTATGCTTCTTCCAAAAATTCTTTACTTGTGTTTGCACCTGTTGATTCCTTTAATATTTTTATCGCGACTGGAATTTTTACATTTTCACCTTCTGGTACCCAGACACCTTTATAGACTTTGCCGAAGGCACCAAATCCTAGCATACCACCCCGTCGCAATTCCGCTTCTTTAACTATTCTTAGTTTTGCGAGGTTTGGTTTCACATTAGTTGGTCGAAGAGGTTCGTTATCTTCACAGCCTGTCAAAACCATAGTCATTTTTACCGCTTCTTTTTTTGCTTTTGCTTTCTGTCGACATGTATATCCGATCATGGCTAGGATTATTAAAAAAATAACCGCCAAAACCAATATTATTACCAAAACGGTTGGAATTTTCGCGGTTGACATTGCTGGCGGGCCATTTGCTAGGGCTGAACAGTATGGCTCTTCAATGGGGTTTTGGTGCAGCTCGTCGAAATATATTTTATGTGGAAAGTCTTCGGGACATGTAGCAGTGCAATTAAATGGTCCAGTATTAATGTCAGTTAAAAATATTTTCAGATTATCACATTTTATGCAATCTGTCGATGTAAGTCCGGTGCAACCACGACATTCTGGGTGACACGGTGAACAAATTCTGTCTACTTCGTCAGTGAAATGATCCGGAGGGCATTCATCTTCACATTGATCCCCACGTTTAAAACCATTACAAACTTGGCAAACTTGTTCGTGTATTCCAAAACCAGTGCATTTTCTGCACAATGGGTGACACTTTCGGCACACTACTTTAACTTTCCCCTCTAATAGTATTACATTTCCAACCCATTCGTTATAGTAACCATCAGGACATGGTTCATTTTCTTTAAGGCAGCTTTCGACTGTAGCTTCCACGCTGATGATGGCTTTTTTGCACGAATTGCAACCACCAATTCCGACGGTGTTTTCTGGTCCTGTACACCCATTAAAACAGTTAGCATGGCAAGGTTGACAAGTGCCATTTTCTGATGGGTATCTCGAGTCTGGACATTCTGCTACACAGTAAGGTCCATCGCGTACGTGTTTGCACTTCGAGCAGTTGGCACGACTGGGGCCTGAGCATCCATCAAGGCATTCAGAATGACATTGCTTGCATATTTTTGTACCCGATTGGTAGAGTCTGAAAATTGAGAAACCTTAATTGAGTATGTTGTTTTAGATAATGTTTATTGATATTCTTATTATACAATAAGAATGTTGATCAATCATTAATAACATCTTTATAACACTTTAAGGTAAATTTACTTTTAATATCCAAGGACTAACCAATAATAATTTACTTAATTTGTAATGCTAGATATACAATCGCATTGCAATATACATATATAAAGTAGTATTTATTTCTACCTAATAAAGTAATAACAAATAGTAACATAATAGTATTATAAATACTGACCCAGGGTGAACACTGCAGTTTTGGATACAGATATCGCCAAATTTGTAGTTTTTACAGGAAAGACATTGGTCGGGTCCCGGACCCCAGCAACCATCCGAGGAACATTGTGGGTCGCAAACCATGTTTGCTTTTTCTGAAAGACATGCTTATTGTAGATACCTAAAGGTGGTGTTATGTTGGTTGGGTGGAAATTACATTTGTAATATCGCCAGCATTAGTGGTTAGGTTGTTAATAGGAAAAAAGAGTAATATTTCAACAAAATGTAAATTCGCTTAATCTTATATAAGTAATTCGCAACGCCTTAAATATATGATATATTAAATTTACTGACTTTACTTTGAGGATCCTCAAACCTAGTATATGTGTTACGGTAATTATACATACCACAGTTCTGAATATCTCCATTTTTCTGAATTATTTGCTTGTGGTCTTTTGATTTCACCAGCTTGTTCCATGCAATTTTATCAGCAAAACATAAATGCCTATTTTCCATTATAGCAATTGCCCCCGAATTAACTTTTTTCAACGACTTCAATCCAAGCGATTTCAAAGAAGTCTTAACAATATATAGAGACGCAAATAGATTTTCTACTACTTGGCGACCTCCAATCACTTCTAAATTTCTAAAATAGGAAAGGCTGGTGAAATTCGGATGATGCGCTTGTACATTCAGATATCCTGTCACTTCCCGTACTGTGCTGAAAATCTCTAATGCATCGGGTTCCATTTTCGCATATCTTTCTCCAAATGAATAATCCGGATTAACATGTTGGAAACCAGTAAATGTCATTTCTAGAATTTCAATAGAGCCATCTATAATGGTACAGTCTTTAAAACTTTCTATATTTCCTGAGTGTATCGGTCTCTCCGCACGACAAGTCTTCGGGCAAGTTACATTACAAGGAATACATTCGCCATTAACTGCTGTTTTGTTAGGCGGGCAACTTCTAACGCATGCACCATTATCTTTCAAAAGGTGCTCTGGGCAGTTCCTTACGCACGTAGCACCATAAGCGTATTTTCCGTTAGGATTTGGTTCCCAAGAATATGTTGTAGGATTGTACTTTTGCATCTGTGGACATTCTTGAGAGCATGTTCCTTCGTCGTAGAAATTTCTGCAGGCAAGACACTGGCTGGGTAAAGGACCGGTACAACCGCCGGCACAGAAAGTGTTACAGCAATCTCGAGGATTCGGACCAAAACATCTACCTTGATCGCATTGAGGACTGCAGTTTATTTTAGAAAATTTTTGACAGTTGAGAGGGCCATCTCCCCAGCAACCCAACTCGCAGCTAGGGTGGCATGGTGGACATTCCCTCTCTGGAACTTTAAATTTATAAACAAACACATATGAAGCATTTACTCCTGTAATGATTTCATCCCAATTTATGGTTTTAACGTGGCATAAGTTGTAATTATTATAAATTCCAACACTGCCCCTTAGAACGTCTCTTAGGGCGGGAAGTTCAAGTGTGAAAGCTGAAGACATCGTAACCATAAGCGCAAATTCCTCGTCTCTTACATTCAATTTGAAAAGTGTTCTTCCTCTAATAATTTGCAGTTGTGGTAAAACGATGTGTGCTACCTTAACATATGATATAAGCACATAGCCGGTAACTTCTCGTATGTGTTGGAGAAAAGACAAATCCATTGTTTCATTTTCCAACCAGGTAAGTTCAAGGTTGCCGTCAACGTAAGTACAATTGGTGAATCTGTCCCGCAAGTTTCTGTAGTGAGTGTCGCGATTCGAGGGTACTGACATCCGACCGTTTGTGCCGATACATACTGGAAAGAGAAAAAAAAATCTTAAGTTAGAAACTAAATTATATGTAGATTTAATTATTAAAGCTAGTAGTATTGAGATTTGAGGAATACTAAAGTACAAGGAGATCACCTAAGATTCGTAGGTTGACACACTGAAGAAACGAGATAAAGTTTTACTTAATTTGACTTGTGTTCGACGCGTTGGCATCCGTCTTGCGTATGTAGTGACACACGTTCTACAACTTTCCATTATGAAATTGGTGCAATAACAACTTTTAATAACTTATGCATTCAAGAAATCAGAATCACCTAGAATGAGATTTATCTTACAAATATATTTACAATTTGACGTATAAAAATCTTGAGTCACGTTGTATATGGTCAATCTCCCCCAAAACGCCACTCGATTTTTATGTATATTTAATAGGTACCACAATTGGTCTTACGGTATATTTCAGATCAGTTTTGCCCGAAATTAGTACTTTCAATGAAAAAAATGTTAGTTTTTTTTTCTTCAATAAATGTTACACATGAGATGTCCAAACTACTGATGAGCGGATTAACTTACATAAATATTAATCAATACTCAAACTACTACCCTTAAAGCAATAGAGAACCACGATAGAATCCATTGTAATAGCTTTTGGGTCGTATCTACCTGGCTGTCAAATAATGTTATTGACTAGCCACTACACGGGTAACTCGATATTGTTAAACTTAAACTCAGGTAGGTGAAATTTCGAAACTTACAGTATAAATACGAAACAACCAAAAACCATTTCAACTCATACATCCAATGTTATATTGCAAAATATAGTCTAATGGCTGACACTGATGTGTTAGATTACGTTACCTACTTTCTCAAGGTCTGGTTATAGCTAATAAGTATTGTATGTAAAACAATAAAATTATGATATAATTGCAAGCAAGAATTAGCAAGAACCAGAGAAAATTATAAGAGGGACTTCTCTACGTCAGTAAGTGAGTCAAATTTTGCTAAACAAAAATTGAAAAATGTGAATAAACTAAGTTAAACTTTTAGGTTTCGTCATAATGTTTTGTAAACATATAAACTTGGCAAGGTGCCTCCCACGTCCACAACCGATTTCAAATGTCACTGGATCGTACGAACGCGTTTGTTTTATGAATATCGGTTTTGGTCAATTGACGTGTGGGTAGAAATCCGGTGTCCGGTCGACCCAGATGCATGAACCCATGCCGAGATGACATAGGTGATAGTGACACTGCACTGTAGCGCGTCGCGCTTGCTGCCTAACACTGCCATTTCACGAGAGCAACCAATGACATACATTTGTACGCTAATGAACAAAATATTTAAATATCAAATTTAGCTCAAATTACTAATCTAGACTATTTCCCTCGGTTAACGAGGCGACGTCAAACCATTTTGCAATATCCTCTCCAAGACTGCAATTGTGCATTTTCTTGACCAATCGCTCAACTCGAGTACATACAAAAGCTGAGCATGTAAAGCTCAACGACTGGTTTGACTGAGGCAAATGTTTTTATCCAGTTACGTGCATTCTGAAGCACTGGAACCAGTTTTGATCCACTAACATTTCATTCGGGGAGTTGAACCTTTCACTATAATTTCTCATTGTGTATAATATCTTGTCTTACGGTTTTGTTTAAACAAAAAAGTTGAAGATTTTCAAATTAAGATTCCGTGTATATAAGTACCTATCAGTATATTAGAAATATCATAAAGCTTGAAATAAGTATGTAGCTTTCAAATGTACCTTACAGTTAAGTATAAACCAAATTTATTGTAATTATAACTTTTTAAAAGCTTTCGTTTAATGCATTTGCACACATTTGTAATGTGTATTAAAAATTCTTAAATAAATAAACTACTTTAAGAGAAATTTTTCCAAGTTGTGTTAATATTAATTAAGAAGTGACATTTAAAATTAGTATATGAATAACATATATGGTATTATACACTAGATGACTACGAAATAATGGAAATTTAACGCGTATAACCAGATATGTAAATGAGATATTACCTCGTATCATTTTCATTGATGGATTTTAAGTGCATAACATAAAATATCAAAATGTTGAAACATCAAATATTATAAAAACTGTTTAGACGAGATTCGAGTGTTTAATCAAAAAGATACAAGGCATAAGATATAAGGCATGTAATGTTATCTGTGAATTGTTTAGTGTAAATATGGATCTGTTTAGAAGGATAAGCGGTCAAGAAATTTAAAACAAAACAGAAAATATTTCCAATGACGTAATCAGAAGTGAATTATACGCAAAATATTATTTAAATATCATTTTGTTGTTGTTGACAAAGTAAAAACTTGCGCACATGCTAGAAGTAAATGACGTAGACGTATGACAATTCAGTTTGTATGAATATAAATTAACCAACTTATAAATGTCTTACAAATAAGACAGTGTCTTACAAATAGGGTACAATTTTTAATAGAGATATTTTAATAGCAACTTTAGCAGGAGCTACGTTTATTTTAGTGTTTAAATGTGTTTAAATATACTTGTAAAGCTGGTTGCATAATGAGAAATATTAGCTTATATTTAGGCTTATTAAGACGATACACGAGATGTTGAGATGAGAGCGTTGCTGTTTTTAGATTTTTTTTTATAAGATTTTTTCTCGATCTCCGTGTGTGTTCTGAGTCAAGAAACTTAATAGGTATTAACAACCTAATTGGCTAGTTATTAGTAATTCATTTTCATATATAATTTGAAATTATCAAAATAGTGTTAAAATATGTCTTTTAAGTGAATTGGTATTTCGATTTTCACAACCTCAAAGTAGAAATAATGCTTGTTTTTGGAATATATTTAATGTAGTAGTAATAATAATAATCCGCCATTGCATCTGAGATCTTTTTTCAATTAAGTTGAAGAAAAGCCAACTTCCTCAACTTCCCCTTACGAGGTACAAGCGCCTAAAATCGTAGGTGCAACGCCGGGAGATGAATACTCTGGTTGAGAGTCACTATATTATATAGTATCAGCTTGTGTATGTTTAAAAAACCACGCTAAGTAATTAATAATTTACTGGAAAGACAACGCAAATGTTGAAGATTTTATGTTATTAATGCAACCCACACATATCCTAGTATTACAACAAATGGAATTGATGATACCTACGCATTTGGTATAGCAAGTTTGAAATTTCTATAGAAACTTTACCTAATCAGCCCACGCTTGTATTTCGTATTGCTAGGTGACCTTTTTGTCGAACATAGTTTTTTAAATGACTGAAATAATCTACAAATAATTCTAAATGTGTTGGTATTCTATGCTAATATATCTTATTAAATAAATATTAAATTGAATTATTTACGTCCTAAAAACGTGCTTAAATTAAATTTAAATACTATAATAATACTGATGTCTTCGACCAGGTCAAGACTTTTGGATCATTTATAACAACGAAACACAAATGAGGAAGAATTACCATTGTGTTTATTATTAATATATACGATTACATTGCAAATTTTTTGACACTGATAGTAATTAGGTTTTAATGATTATCAATTACATTTATTAGCAAAAACGTAACAATTGTAATTAAGGAATTACATAACTGTTAGGAATGATAAGCTAAAAAAGTTATCCATTAAATAAGTTTACAGTATAGACCTACATAAACTTTATTTTGCATTGAATTATTAGTTCTACTATAATAATTCTCATTTAGTTTTCTTCAGTAATCTTGGGAAAGCTACTGAAATTTATTGCGAAGAGAAATAATTATGTTATTGATGGAATCGTACCCAACTATAAACTAAAAATAGCCAAAATAAACATGATTTCGAATAACATACCTATGTATTATACATTGGTATGTGATTCGCTGTTATATATACGCATGTATTCATTTAGTACAATATGGAAATATTTTTAATTACTACTTGTAATAAGTTGGTATAATTCAGTTAGATAGTAATACATTCCTAGACCTAGAAGAATATTCTGAACTGGATTACAACTAACCAATGATTATCTGATTCAGAGTACGATTTCCCTTAGTTCGTTATAGTACCATAACTACTTCTATATACGGCGTTGGCGGGCCCAAGATAAGCTTTGTTTATTTTATTCATTCGTTTAAACTAATAGTGATAAAATTTAATATTTTATAAATCTTAATAGGGATGCTTTGCGTATTGAATATTTTTATATGGTAATAAAAAATCCATTTCTTAACATAATTTAATAAATTGTTACGTTTATATTGAATTATAGAATCACGGTGAACTAATCTATATAGAAACTGAAGGAAAGGATCTTATGTTTCCTATGATAAGTGACGCGATTAACTTACACTTAAGTAGAAAATCTTAACGTATGGGTGCGTAGGCGACACTTACTCTTGCCCTTAACGAATTCCGAATGTTTATGTCGTGCAGGAACAACGTGGTGAAGGCGATGAGCGCGGGCGGCGCTGGCGTAAGCAGCGAGGGCGCCGAGGCACAAACACCACAACAAGGTACGCACACCAATCATGCTGCGACATCACTCGCGATCCACTTACACAACCGAACGCGGCAAACATCCATCGTGTACTGGCCCGCCCGGGCCCCGTTTTCCAAAGTCCACGGTGCGCGGACGCACCTGAGGCGGTTAAAAGTTTAGAGAAGTCAACATAATTTTTGAATACAGCCATGCGTGTTTGATTTATTTTTAATTGTAAGTCTTGTATTTTGTTTACTTATTTTATAAAGTTTCTTATAACACTGAATAGAAACTTAAAATATTCGTTTATACTTTGGTATTTGTAATTAAATTTTTCAACGGTCTCTACATATTTATAATTACTTTATCACTATTATCTATTTTTAATAAATTTGTTATGTACTCGTATGTAGTATTTGTGATTTATATTGGTTAACATATAGATTTTTTTTGTTTAATGAGATATTAAAATTGTCGCTGTCAATTATAGATTATTTTATAAGTAACATAATATCCACTAATTTGGATATTATTATTGTAGGATATATCACCAACATGAACTAGTACTACTGTAATTATATGATATGTTCTGTCTATTTCTGTTATAGTCTGTGGCTACGGTTGTGAGTTCAACCTTTTTACAATCGCAGATAAACGTGAGGAAGGACGCAGGTATGTGCTAGAGTCGCTACTCTCAGATAAAAAGCCTCAGAATAAAAGTTCTATCCATACGTATCATATAAATATGAATTATAAAATTCAAATATTTAAAGATTAAAAGTATTAATTAATTAATACTTTTAGAAAATGAAAAAATAATATCCAATATTCGGTTATTGTTTATGTCAATACATGAATTATATGGGATATCAATGTTGTGTAATATAAGAGATAATATAGAATATGAAATCTAGATATGTCCTAGAAGAGCGCGCGCGTTGAACTCTTTCCAAAAGTAAAATGATCTTCGCAGTAGTCCCGTCCCGGTGTCTTAGGTTATTCGGCTGCTATCGTAGAGTATTTACTGTTAATTTAAGTGATTTATTTAATATTAAATTTAGAATTAGTATTATAAAATTACTGTTTTTATAATCGCTATTTTTATTATTAGAATTTTATATGTTTTATACCAGAATGTGTTTTGTGATTAATAAAAGATGGATGGTTCGGAATTACCCAAAAGTATCTATTTCTGTAAAAATTAATAAAATTAAATCAAAATATCATAATTAACACAAAAAACATCTGTGGATTGAGCTTATTTTCAATAAACGTATTATAATAACTCATAGACCTACTTTAATGTAATAAAGCAGATTAATTTTCACATGACATAATCTAAAATTATATTAAAACAATTATTTTTCTTCCAACGCGCTAATTAAAGATTTAAGTTGGTATCTGGTAGATAGTACTGGTGACCCCAGAGCTGGTGCTTTCCTCGATCTACGAATAAGTATCGCAATACAGCGAGGAAATGCTGCCAGCGTTAAAGGCACGCTGCCACAGGAAACCAAAATTTTTAATTTTGTTTCAATTTTCTATTTATTAATTTTTAACTATTATTATTAATACTATGTAGGTTAAGAAAATTGTAATTACTGAATATGTATTAGCTTAATTAAAACAAAAAAACCATTTAAATTTACAATTTATTATTAAACATTCATAACACTTAACACCGCGATAAGATACTACATTAAAAAAAATGAAACAGACAAGAACTTATTATTTCGTATATGTGGAGACGAATCCCTACCTCTGTTGAAATGAACAAAGAGACCACTTGACTCTTTTGTGTTGGCACAATGACGGTTTGATTTCTTCTATTGTCGAGCAGGTACCGGCCACTGCTTGCGTGCGGGCAGGTAGAGTTGCTATGTACCAAACATTGCGTGCCTAGCAACCTGTTTCAAAGTATGAAGAATAAAGTTTTCACTTGATTTTAACTTTGATATTGTTTTACTGTTGGCTTTATAAAAGCACTTTCGTTCCTTAGCATAATCATAGTTACCATAAGTGGCATGCCTTGACTGTGTTAAAAATACTATCCAATAGTAATTACGTCCTTTTGTGGCCGTTAGAGCTTGGTTCGTCACGGATGACTATCACAAAACGTAAATGTATTATAATGAAATTAAGTTTAAAATATCTACTACTTCTAAAATGGTTTTAGTAGTAGTAGATTTATATTTTTAATCCGCTTTAAATAGTTTAATTTCAAAAATTTCAAAATAATACTTACGAAATACAGAAACTAGATACAATATTCTTAACCATAGAGAATAAAAAGTATGAAAGGTTATTTATTCATCAACAAGCATTTTATAATCACAGTTTAATTATAAAATATGTGATCCTAAACATTATAAATATAATAAAAGATTCTTAATATTCGATTAGAATTCCAAAACCCAAATTTGAACCCCACTGTGTTTGGGTTGGGTTAGATGATATGTCTTATCTTATAATCATAAAACTTATACTGGTAAAACTTAAGATTGAAATTCGGGTGAATAAATACATAGAAATATTAAGTTGGCGAGATGGTTATAAAACTAACGTCAAGATATAAAATGTTATGTCGGCATCTGCAGCCCCCAACCGTTCATTGTAATCATATCCATAAGTCAGATACGGATATTTATCGACTTCAATCGATCATAAGCAACAGGTATTTTACCAGGTTTAAAAATATTTGTGCGTCAATAATACAAATGTTAAAACCTCTTTAAGGTCAGTGCTTTGTATTGTGTCACGTGACCTACGTTTATAACAATACAAAATGTATTTACATAATTGTACTTTTCACATAATGCACATTGCATACTTTCTAAGCGTTTTAGGATGAACCAAGTTCATCCTTTGATGTTCCACGAACAATAAATATTGTAATAACATATAGAAGAAATACTGCCTCAAGATATGCATCCAGTTGCATGACATTTTGACAAGCAATTCACATGGTAATGCCAAACATTCGTGGAATGATCGCTTTTAGCTTTAAACCCTGAATCAATGCAGACAGTAGGTCCGATGAATAGAAAGTGCCTCATCTAATTATTATGTAGGCTTAATAATATATTGTCTTATTTAGATAGATATAGTTTACGTATAGATAAATAAAGGTTTTTTTTTAATTTACAGGTTTTTCTGGCGCTTTGTCAATTTCGCAAATAATACAACACATTTTTTAAATGTTTCGAATTGAATGAAATACGATCGCGTGTCATGTATAAGGGTATATTATATGGAGTATTTAAATTAAAATGATCTCAACAGATGCACTTTTGACATATTCGTCCCACAAAGGGCTGGCTTGTATTCACACGCTCTCAACAAAAGATGTTTTTTGCGAGTGAAGATTCCGAACGAAATCTAAACGCGAATCACATTGTGGGAGCAAGCCTTATTTTAATCAGGTGATTTTTGTTCGAATCCATGAGCTGTCTCATTCGAGATTAACTTTCTAAGAAATCGTATGAAATTAAACTCAAAACAGTATTGATTATTTATTAAAGCAAGAGTTTTTAAATATGAAAAATCGCCTCTCAGTTCTTTACAATAAACACTGTTATAAATCTTTCTAAACAAAACCCGCATTCTGTTACACCACTCGACGACGAAATGGGCGATTAAAATCAAAAATAAACTACAACTCAGCTCGCTTTTGTCTTACTTGTGTCTACAACAGGCTTTTATCGCTTCACGAAAAAATCTTGAAGGCACTCTACCTTTGAGCGCGCAGGTAATGCCTGCCATTTTGTTCTACCTTTTTATTGTTTTGGATTCAATCGTAATTTGTATGTTTAAAGCCGTGTCCCATATTTGTAAAGATATGTTTACTAATTAAGTTAAAGCTCATTTGATTTCCTTAAACGATGAGAAAATAAAATTGCTTTTTGTATATAAAGTGTTGTTCGTACTATATACTATAAAGAATGTTAAAACTATATATAAAATCGTGCAAAGGCTTTCAGATCTAAAAGCCCTGTCGAGATAGAATCATAACATATGACCGACTCTAGAGCTAGGTTATCGCAACGAAGACACGAACTGCGTACAAATAAATATAGGTGTATTCACTGGTTCTAAATAATATTAAAACGAAGGAATCTCTTGTAATAATCCAACCTTTTGAATTATTATATATATTTATTTTATAAAATCTCTCAATCTAAAAAATCTACGTAGAGCCTAATAAATTATGTCTATTGTTCATACTTCTTTAGGCTCTCAAATAGGTACTGATTGTTTTGTCCTTGTCCGACACGTAGGACTCTGCCTTATGTATGAGCGTGACAAATTCTTTAACTATAAAAATACCTACCACAACCTACATATATGAATAAGCTCGGTGGGCTAAAATATTAACACAACAAAAATTACTTTCCTAGATTTAAATACATTTTAGACAAATCTACTCAAATGAGACATTGTTGGAATCCACATAATTTTCTGTAAACTGCTCTGTGAAAACTATTGCAATGTCACTGAAGTACTGAAGTATTAGCTGCACTTTAGCATTAATTGTTAACAAATATAACTATTAATTATGTCACAAATAGATAAATGATATTTAAGTAGGTTAAAATTGATCTAATTCATCCTATTTATAAGGATTGTAAAGATTTATAAAACGACAATATAAAAATATAGAGCTTAAAAAGGGGGTAAACAATTCGAGCGTTATTTGTTTTAAAATTATTTTACTGTGATGAAATGTACAGTAAACAAGTATCCCAAGAGCATTAATTGTTTATATTTGACTGTTGTATAAATATAGCTTACTATCTTGGTCAAATAGTGTGGTATTTAGTCATTTTATTTGCCCAGAACTAACCAACTAGTGCACGATAAGAGCACATAAGATGATTGCTTAATAAAAATACACATTTCAATTCAATTCTTTTTAGCTCCTTGGTTACAACAGTGTTTTTGTTTAACCTAAACATAGACTTCTACATATTGTTTTAGTTTAAAACCCAATTACAAAAGAACCTATATACGAAAGATATGAGTAGTGTCTTAAAATATAATATCAAACATATAAATTAGATTTAAACAATAAGTGAACATGTTTTCACCTTGTGGATCTGACAATAATCATTCTAAATATATATTCAATGTCGAAAAGGGTATTCGTTAGTTAAACTAATCTTTTTGTATACAAGGAATTGTTAATATTAACTAACACTAAATAATATTCATCAAGATAATATTATCATGACAAATGAAAGAGTGAATTAATACATGTATTTATTAACAAGATTTTACATTGAAGCTAATATTACCATACAAGATGGCCCACCTCAGACTCAGTGATATTTCTAAGCGATTAACAAACGAAGAGTTAGATAACATTTTTAAACTGAAAACTAATAGTCAAGACAGTGTTGTTAATTATCAAGTCATGCGTGTGGGACCTGCAGGAGAGGGTTTGCTTAGTGCAGTTTATAGAATCAATGTTAAAGGTGAAAAATATGATACAAGTTTCGTCGCCAAGGGACTCCTCCACGATTTGATGCTGAGAAAAACTTTGAGTTGTGAAATTTTTTTCCAAAGAGAGGTGGTATTTTTCACCAAAATTTTACCAATACTGATGGATTTACAAACCTCGCTAAATGCGAAAGAATGCCTTCAAAACTATATTCCGCTTTGTTATCACTCCTATTGCTACGGCTGTAATGATTTTTTAGTCATGGAAGATATGTCTGAAAGTGGATATACATCATTGCCACACGCACCAACAGATTTTGAGAAAGAAGGGACATTAAAGGTGTTGGCTCATCTACAGGCGGTATCAATGGCCTTACGCATAAAAAATCCAGAACTATTTTATAAACTAGCTAATGAATTACCTGAATGTTATTATATTGATAGAAGAAAGACTTGGTATGGGAAGTGGCTTCAAAGGGCCATAGATATCGACAAGGCTGTGGTAGCCGAGTTTAAAAATAAAATTGGCAACGTGTATTATGAAAAGTTTATGCAATTAATCAATGATGATGTTTATGAACAATTACAAAATATTTCTAGTACTTGGGGTGACAATACAGTGTTAAATCACGGAGATTGTTGGTATGCAAACTTTATGAGTTCAAAGAAAGGCGTAGTAGCTCTCGATTTCCAGTTATATAGATTTGGGTCTCCAGCTATAGATCTAACATTCTTTATAATGACATGTGCTAATGTGAGCCCACTTGCTGATGATTATAAAAATACTTTAAATGTGTATTATTCATATCTGCGGTATTTTATGGAGGACATGAATATGAACATAGACAATGTATTTCCTAGACATGCTCTGGACTCCGAAATGCATAAATATGGAAAGTTTGGTTTTTTAGTCGCTTTAACATCAATACCATTAATAATAAGTGAAAGGTGTGATGTTATGCAATCCTTTGGGGAAAAATTTAATGACCATGACATTATCCCGCTAGAAGAACTTTGGGTACTGACACCTTTTAAAACAGACGAAGAAAAAATGCGATTAATAAATGCATTGCGACTATCTGTAGATGTAGGTTTAATATAAATGCAAGCAATTACTATCTTCATTTTTTGAGTGTAACCACTTTTGTTCATACCAATTTGTTATTGTGTGTATCTATAATTTTAATTATTATATCATTAATTATTTGTTAAATATTTTTAGAATTACTGTAATAAAAATATGTACAAATGTATTAATACCTAGAAAATAAAGTTGATGCAAGTCACGTTGGTTTCCTAAAAAATAGCGGTCTAAAGTTAATATAATTCTAAGACATTCCGTACGCAAAAATTGGTAGCAAATATGTTGCGACATAGAATATAAATGTGATGGTTTCTTTGTATTTGAAAATATACAAAGAGGTTGTATAGATTTAGACGAAATTCTTTTAATCGAAAAAGGTGACATTGAATATAAAGAAGCTTATATAGCGAAAAGGTTTTAAAAAAATCCTATTTTTATAACTATTTTATTTTTATAATTATTTATTTCAAATAACTTATCGTGTCTTCTTCTGTCAAAATGTATTTACGCTGTGATAAAAAGAGATCGACGAATACTTAAGTAAAAACGGTGCCAATAAAATAATGATTTTTTATGAATTACTTGAAATTAAAATACTTACCAAAATATGCAAAAACAACTCTTATTTGTACAGTTTCACTAAAAACACTCAAAGAACGTTGACGCATGTTAATATAAAGAAACAATAAAGGGCAAATGGTAGAGGGCAAGCTAAAGCGAGGAGACCCGTGTCTTAACACAATGACGTTTCGAGGCAGTAGCCGCTAATGTTTACATTAATTATTTATTATACAAAGAACTCTTTGGGCCACAAGAAGTAATTTGTATAATTATGTGAAGGTTCTATATACAACCATGTATGGGCACTTTGTTCTGCTACGTTATTATTTTAAAAGAGAATACTTTATGAAAAGCTGAGCGAACAAAAGTATTTTACTCTCAACACGATTTTACCAGCTGATTCTTTCGGTTTTCAGTAACAAACAATACTTTATATATTATGTTCAAAATCAAATTCAATAGCTAGTATTTTCTTTAATAACTGACTGACTCTTCTGACTGAGTGAATCTTAGAGCCGACATAATCACAAAACATGTTTTAGTAATTCATAAAACCCATTTGATTTGCTCTTAAATGATAATGGTTCTAAAATTAATGACAAACGTTTTAAAAGGTTTATCCAAAAAAAAAATGTCGTTTTAAATGTATGCTAATTATTTATATTTAACATGAGCCATTAAAAGTTAACATGCGGCGATACCATACTTTGATGTTCAATAAAAAAGGAATCACGAGAGTATTTGAAGGAACTTTGTTGTTAGAGACCACTTCTAAAGTCAGATAAGGTCCCCGTAACATGAAAAAAGTCGAACCCATTTTGTAAACAGGTTGTAAACGATCTTGTTAGATGTTTTAACGCTTAAGCTAAAAAGAAAACATCTTTACTCTGATCATAATTAGGATTTCCAAGTATTAATAAAATATATCATAACGTGTATCATGCGCTGAGATTTTGGATTAGTGTCAAGTGTATATATAAAAAAAATGAAAAAATATCTGGAGAAATATAAGGAAGGCTAAGTTAAGGGCCTAATTGCAGGTTAATATTACATTTGCTAAAACTTTAATATTTTGTGTGTTTAAAATCAAAATTATATAGAGTTAGCACTGTGTACAAATGAATTTATTAATTCAATTATTGTTTTCTCTCTCCATGTGCGCAAACTCTTACTCATAAATTGATGAAAAATATCGTGAAAAAACCGGCATCACCTTAAAATCGTCGACGTCTATCAGGCACATAAAAACTATAGAAATATTGAAATCAAAAATAAACTATAGATAAAATTTGGGACTAGACCTATAAAGAATTAAAGCGTTTGTATCTTTGTACTATGATAGTTTAAAATTACTTATAATATTTGAGTTAAAATTCTGCATCAGCAGCAAATTTTATCAATGAGTTTTAATACATACATCTAAAATTTAAACAAAACAACGCAGATAAGTGGCATTTGAATTTAGAGACATTCCAACGGCTAAATGAATAAGTTTCAATAAAATTATATAATATTTATTCATTAATTTTGCATCCGTATGTATCATTTAATTAACACATAATTTCGACGACTGGTTCTCTAAATGGTTTTTAATATAGTAAACAATTAATTCAAGGTTCTAAATATATGAAAACATGTCTTTTGAAATATTTGTTGTAACTTAATAAACGCACATAAAACATATTATATTAATTATAGCTTATTTCTAGAATATTCGATTTAAAATCACGACGGTATATAATATACATAGTAAGATGTATCAAACCATTACAGTTTTCGATTGGGAGATGAAACTAAAATATAATATTTTAACAGCTGCATCATTCTTTATGTTTTAATGATGTTTAATTAATTTAATTAAATTAAATGCCTTTGTATATCGAGGATTTCCGTTCATATGTACATACATTCCATTTGCTGTAGAACAAACAACGTTTTGCCAGCATCGCGTCATGATCCTGAGCATAAGAATGCTAATTGCAAGTTATCCTTGAAGTCAATAACTAAGAATAAAAGATCTACTTTTGAGCAGTGTTACCCTAGTACACGTGTAATTTTTACCCATCGTGCGCGAACGGATGGTTCTATATGTCCCAAGTAAGGCTTGCTCGTATGCGAAAAGAAAAACATTGGAAGGAAAGTATGAGGTGGGGTGTTATAGGCAGATACATAAAGTACATATATACAAAAGAAAAATAATCAATGTTACAAACGTTCAGCGTTTGATTTTTTGAATCTGCCTCATTTGGTAGATAAGGGACAAGAGCTCTATGACGTACGTAACAATTCAAGTAATGTCCCATCGTTCATGCATTATACAATAGTGAAGTAGGTGTTAGATAGTAGGTGTTCTGTGTTGTGAAAGATAATTCACATATCCCACGTTTTGTATTGCCCAATTATTCAACTCAGTGCTAAATTTCCGAAACATAAATGGAATTGAAATACTTATAAAGAATGTGAAAAATTTAAAATATAACAGCACTGTTAAACACGAAGAAATCATCCAATTAACAGTCAAATATCTGAAGTGAAGTGGAGAGATCATTTAGGCCTTTGGGCACACGCATTAAAGTAACGAAACTTGTCTGACTGGTCGTTAAAATTCCCCGTAATTCGTCGCGGAGAAGGCGGGTTTAACACCATGTTTTACACATTTATGTCTTGTGTGTAGCGCCGAAACTTAAAATTATCTGCATGTGCATACGAACTTAGTTGCGTCAAGTGTGTAAGCCGCTCTTCGTGTATAATTCTACGCGAGAAAAGAATTAATGAAATTATGGATGGCCGATCATTCAATTTTTTAAGGAAGAAGTAAAACTCTATCTAACCTCTTTTGAACTTTGATTTATGTAACTTTATTTTATATCATATTTTTGATACATAAAAGTAAAAGCTTGTACCGTTCACTTTACTTACGAAATAAAAATCTTGAAAAGGATTGCGTAGGTTGGTCAATAAAAACTTACCAACCGATACTTATAACATGCAAAACGTATTAAAATTCGTGTTGCAAGCATTCTATGCTTCCTAGGCACGACATTACATATTGTAAATAAAGCCTACGAATTATTTTTAAGGTTCCAAGTGTAGGTGGAACCTTAGAAAACGAACGGAGAGATCAATTTGTCCCTGACATACGAGAGTGTATTAATCAAAAGCGTCTGCCTAATTCTAATTACAATTTATAAAAATGACATCATTTATTTATTGCTTTATATTATTTACTGATTTCATAGAATACTGTAAATTGTGATGGAAACGAATTTTTGTATTTTATAGAAAAATAATATAGAATAAAAAGTAAATTTAGATATTTTAATTAAATCATTGGAGGAAAACAGCTAACAAACAAACAAGAACAAGCAACAGGTCGTAGTTTAAATGATTCTTCTCTAAAAACCAAGTGCTATAGCACTTATGTACTGTTTTCAATTGAAATATAAATAGCTTTGCGTCTTAGACAAAAATTCAGTCATTCAAATCAAAAGTTTAAAAACAGAAATTAACTGACCTTTATGTTTCCGGAGTCCTATTTCGATGAAGTTTATTTGCATTTGAACGGGTCGTTTTACAAGGTTGGCCCTGATAAAATTTATCCTCAAGGATACTTCTGGACAAGGTAAGCATTGTGACCAATTTAATGTAAATAAAAGTTACCTATGCTAAGTAAAATATGGGACACAATTTGTTTATCTTAGATTAGATTTGAAATGGTTTCTTGGCAAAATACTATGGCTTGGAGATCAAATTGGTATATTTTATATAACCAAATTTAGTCACTGATGTTATCGCGTATATATTAATAATAATTTTATTAAGTCAAGCTTTGCCCTATTTAGATAAATACTTTGGTATCTTTTAGGTATGTAACTTATGAATGTAGCTTAAAGGAAAACGAGTCTCATCGAAATCGAACAATGGAAAAATCGGATCGTTATTTACACAAATCAGTTATAGGGAAAAATAATAATCAAAACTTTAAAAGTTTCGCCACAAAAAACAAGATAAAAATAAATTCCTGAGTGTACCATATTAAAATAAATGTTGATAATCGAACGATACATATTCAAAGTTGTGACTACTACATCTCCGCCTATGCTTTAGCTTCGACACAGTTACATAAAGTTTTCTCTCTCCTCCGCATCGCCCATATGGTATTAATGAAAAAATACACCTACAAGTAATGTCATATAGTCGACGAAAAATAAAAATACCTTGTCTCTTATAAGCCATCTATTAAAAACTACTATTAAACTTTGCCGTATAAAATTGCCCAATAACATGTAGGTGGAAATATGTTCACTCGAAGGGGCAATCCTTGCTATTAACGCATTGGATGATAATATTTTTTAAACATTAAGTCTAGACTATACAGCCTATTTTTGAATAACAATGCTTAATGTACCGTTTTGAATATGGCTTTAGTACGTCAGTAACGCGATGTTGCAATCGGC